TCAGAGATTAGAACGGATCAAACAGATTATTTTAAATTAGTTTACGTTGTAGCGTACAAGTAAGTAAGCGTATAAGTACCGTATATACTTCATATGCATTTATGTGAAAAGCCGTTCATTTAAAATTACAAAAAGCCTGGTCTATTTTACTTCTTTGTATAGATTTCATAGATACAACTAAATATTTACATTGCTATCACGTGAGCATATAAAGCGAGTGGGTGACATGGAGTTCAATTGTCTGAATTAAATAGTGTCAGTACGCGGTTCGTTCATGATATTTTATTGATGTTGTCATCGGTAGCTTAAGTACCTACAATGAGAGTGACTGTGATGTGAGTGATGTTGCCACACTATCCAATGTGTATAAATAAAAACACTCCTAAGCCTCGTAACATATTTTTTATGTACTTATACATCGTGATCTTTATCTAGTAACATTGTGTAAATAGATATTTGAAAGAAGATGCACATAAAATAAGTTTTTATCTTAAGATTGTCTCTCATACAAATTACCGAACATACCCCAAGGAGTTTCTGGATACATACATGCAGTAAGACGAGACGCATTAGCGCGTGAAAAAAATAACTATATTAATCAATACGTACTAGCAATCCCGGACAGTAATGAGTTTAGGGTAAACCATATAGAGAACTACATGATGTATGACTATGTTTGGGGCGAATAGTGTAATTCATACGGTACCATAGTTAAAAAATCTCCTAGTGCGTATCGGTCAGTTATAATACAAATTAACCTCGAGAATCTTACTGTATGGAGTACAAGGCCAAGGGAATGCCGAGGTAGTATATTGCTTGAGTGCAACCTACTACCAATAAAGATATAAAAGAATTGAAAATTTTACCCAGAGTATGTACAGTAATAACCTATGTAATATCTGCTTGGGTTGCTTGCAAAAAAAGACTGTTAATTCTTTATTAATTGTAGAAAAACGAATCCTAGAGGGAGCGCTCGCACATTACTCATCGACGAAATGTAAGAAAATAAAAACATTGTTTCCATGTAATCGTAACATTGAATAGTACATATCAATTTCGCCTTGAAATGTGTCCGATTAAGTGATAACCTTTAACTTGATTTCATCGAACCCAAACCTAAATCAGCAAACCAAGAAGCTTGATACCAACTCTAAGGTTACGTCAATTACGGCCATCTACTTACGTATATATGTACAATATTATGACACTTGTTATAACTATATAAAGCACGATTTGTTTCAACTTAATTATATGAATTAACTTATACTATAAACCAGTGCCTTATACAGTCATAGTGAGTATATAAGTACCTATTGCTGTCAATTTCAGGATTGTTCCATAAAGTTTTGGGATATGCACCTAACCAAATTAAGAGACTCATGACCGATGAATTATTAATAAAATAAACTCTGAAGTCTAAAGAGAGACGAGATTACAAAATAGCCCGCTTTTTATGTTTTCAATCATAATAAAACTCTTTTGTAAAGTCATTATAGTTAGAGATATTTTTATGTCAATTTCGGAATAGAACTATCCTAGTAAGAGCTCTAACATAATGATGAGTGTTTATTTTCATCATTTTTAGGATCTAAACAGATCTCATAAACCAAAGATATAGTAAAAATGTCAAGAATCATGTAGTCTTACATCAAACTATTCGATAAAAATATTTTTGAGGACTGTTTCGCAAATTTAGTAAATTTTTTAAATTATATATTTACTACTTTTTTATTATCTACATGTTTAAACTATAAGATCTATGGGAACTTATATATGGGAGATATTTCGCTCATTATCTCTGCCTGGTTTACACAATATCGCAGATAGATCGCTAACGTGTACTCGCAAGTTTCACCGGATTTGTCCTAGTTTTGAAGGCATTGGAGGAACAATTGCGGACGGTATCTCCAGAAAGCTTATAGATTTGGTGGTAACACCACCTATGTATTTGCTAGCAATATTGCTCTGATTTTGAAATTATTAATATAATTATGTCCTTATTGTTCATAAGAAATTGAGTTTAGAAATTAGTACCTAACAAATATCTTGATATCCACATTATATTGTAGAGAGAAAAACTAATTTTAGTACAAGTGTTGTTGCACAATTAAAAAGGTCAATGCCAATACACTAGATAAAAATAGAAGACGGGTCGTACATTTTATTCGTTGAACATTATATTTTGACGTAAACTCCAGTTTCAAGTATATAATGTAACATGTGCATGTAGAGTTCGTATCCTATAGTGTCAATAGCTACTTGATAGCAAATTAAGTGTATTGTTACAATCACACATCGGAACCATGCATGTGGGATGTTATGTACCTACGGCTGTTTGCATGTGTGTCATAGCAATAAATGCAATTAATAAAATGAAATTAAAGTGATATTGTTAAGTTAATTAAAAACCTTAATAAGTAGCTAACGTAATTTTTATAAGGTGGTTACTTTAAGACATTTTACGGGATCAAGGCGAGCAGTGGAAAAATACTCTTTTGTGATACGTTACAACCTTGTTATCTTAAATTCACAAAAAATGTACAATACAGAAAATTAACTAAGTAAGAAATATGAAGGTTACTTATACGTAATGATATTATCATTGTTAAGGTGGAAGTCATAAGAAATAAGAGTACATATTTTATTCAAAACATTGTAACAATTTTCGTAGATATGCATCATATTTAAGGGAATAATTTTGAACTATGCTGATTACAAGTATATACTAAAAGGTAAAGCTGAATGCCACTGTACTACCTCGTGAAGTTTATGTGGCTCTCCGCTCCAGATATCTCTCCAATGAATGAAATGATGTAAATGATTCCGGTAGCGATTATCGCGTTTCTTTCGCGAATCCGTAGGTGAGGGTGGTGCCGTTAAGGATTCACGGCGTCCACTGGCGGTAGCCACCACCATCGGTGGTAGCTGTGAGCCCAGTAAATGTTCAGTCTCCGGTCCCTCATCGGACGACACGCTATCCATGAGCGAACGGACTGGCCTCGACCCACGTTCTCTTCCCATACTAGCCTGGGATTCTTGTTTCTTCATTTTGTTTTCATTAGTTTTAATTCACAACACAAAATGAAAGGCGAATGGAAACACTGAATTGAGTGAAAGTGTTGCGAGTGACAACATTGCGAATGGAAGCGATAAACACTAAACGGGTCAACGTGCAGCGCAGACGGCGCCGGTGGCAGACTGCTGTGCTGGCTGTATGGTGTGGCGTGGCGGTCGCTTGGCGCACGTGGGCACCGACGTCAAAACAAGCCGACGCTGCGATATTCGCGAATCAGAATGCGTAATTTACATATTATACCCTATTTATATAATATAGGTAATATATTTTATTAAACTGATAATCAATTGACACTATTTAAACATAATGTAAAATTTTAATTATATAATTAAGTAGAAGTAATATAATGATTGATTCTTTATTTTAGCTAAGAATAAAGACATTTTAAAAATTTTATTAAAGAAATATTGCTCCCAGTAAAAAAACAACTTATACAGAAAAAAAATACTTATATGAAAAAAAAATTTAAATCTTAATGTGTACCTTGGATCAAGTGGCTATAAATTTGGTTTATTGCCTTTGGATGTTATTACTGATTTATTTACTCTAAATTAAATATTATCTTATTTATATTCATAATGTAAATTATTTACAATCAAATTATTATTATTAAATTAAGCATACATATATAATAGTATAATCTTTTTATGATTAAAATAGATCTGTACACTTACTACATTCATTTGGCAATACTGTTAACTTCCTAAAGATATTCAGTAAGTGTTATATAAATAGTCATAGTAGCATGTGTCCAGTAATAAATTTATTTTCATTTATTCGGACTACTAACATTCATAAACCATAATCATGAACCATAACTAAATCCATACCTACATTTCAATTACTACGGTAAATTGTGACTTTATTTCAAATAAAGACAATAACTTGAATGAAACGGAGCAAACAATTCAATAGCCAAAATACATATTATGTTCATTAAATATTAGAAAACATTAAATGTGCTTAATAAATGTGGTTGTAATATTTAACAGATATAATTTAACAAAAGTAATTGTCATCACTGTTAAAATTGGGATGTTTATCAAACTATTGCAGCCATTTAGTTATATAGCTGGAATATATATTTTTCCAAAGGATGAAGATGGAATGTTGTACTAATGGTATGTGCTGACGAGGAGTCAGTGGAAGATGGTACAATGAGGATAAGATTAGGTAAATTAGACCACCAAATTGGCAAATTCACTCAGAATTAACTATCAGGATTTTCTAACCGCCTTCCCCTTCACCATGTTTTAGTGAGAGTAAAATTAGAGACACTATTTAGTATACTTTTTAATAACAAATTATTATAAATTAAGTTAACTATTGTGCTTACATTAACTGACCATATAAAATAAGATAGCATTCGAAATTTGATAAATAAAGTTTAAATAAAACTTACCTAGAGATGAATTAATGTGGAATTGAGGTAGTAACAATGCACTTCATGAGTATTAATCAATTATTTTACGATTTATTTCATAATTTTTAAAAGAATAAAATAACAGTCAAGTAAAGTCAAGATATACAAAAATTATTTCATTTTCTTTACTAAGGTCACCAATAAATCAATAACTATGATTTGATTATCATAGTGAATATTTAAATAATAATATAAATAAAACAGAGCTATGTTAAACGTCGTATTATGTCAAATCAAAAACAAATTATCAAAATACCAAGCACAGATCAGCTAGAATTGTCACTGAGGTCACAAGTGTCATAAGTTATAAATCAATGTGGCATTTCATAATTTTTTACTACGTCCTCTCCAGCATTCTCTAGTAAATCACTTCGCTACAAGTTACAGCCTACTTATCAGTACCTCTTAAAGCTTTTTGGTTTTTAATTTATATTGCAAGTACAATAAACTAGCCGGCTTTTGACGTTCTTTATTGACTCTGTGTTGGCTTTGCAGTATCTGTATCCTTTGGCACTAATCTGTGATTGTGTCAGTTCAATTTGTCGTTTGCATAATATCGATTGTTATAGTTTATTTTTTGTATATCTTAGTAATATAAATTATAATAAACCTTATAATTGTCCATTCATTTAAATACAAAGAAAAACAAAACAAAAATGTCATTGCCACAAAAGAAATATTATAGGCAACGTGCTCATTCTAACCCTATAGCAGACCATTGTTTTGATTAGTAAGTTTATGTTTAAACTACTTTTTTTGTTACGATACACACTATTTGTTAATTTTTAATTATTTAAGGCTTGTAATAATTACAATAATATCTAAACTAACTATATAAGTAAATTAAGTAACTATGTTAACATTTATTGTATTATTCATTTAGATCTTTTTTCACTTTTATAGTCCTGTCCATCCTAATGAGTATGACTGGTCATCATTGTATCCCTCATTGAAAACTCATGGAAGTACAGTAAATGAAATAGAATTTTTAGATGTTGGTTGTGGATATGGTGGACTACTGGGTAACTTTATTTGTAATACTTAAATATTTATAATAATTAAAAATTTTAAATTCCTTTAATTGCTCTTCAATTTATAATCTGAGATTAAAAATGTTTTTTTTTGCATTTAGTAGCTCATTTCTTGAGGGTCTTGTTGATGCTTGTTACTTATTAGCCATGACTACTATTACACGATTTCATATTTTTACAATGGTGTGGTATATTATATTGTATTTTAAATGGACTCATATCATATCTGTATTATGAATATGGTCTGTTGGTCTAAGTCTTAAGATTTTTAAAACTGTTACATGTTATTGTTTACTTTACAGTAACTTTGTCTCCAATGTTTCCCAAAAATTTTATACTGGGTTTAGAGATAAGAGTTAAAGTGTCTGATTATGTGAATGATCGAATCAAAGCATTGAGGTTACAACATCCTGATCAGTATCAAAATATTGCTGTATTAAGAACAAATGCAATGAAATATTTACCAAACTTCTTTAACAAGGGACAGGTATATTTTACTTAGTTATAATAATGTATTCATAAAAACAAAGTGCAAATAGAACGACAAAGTAGTTTTGTTCTTAAATAATTTTTCTTTTTAATCAAACTATTGGTTTATTGGACAATGAAACTCATTATGGGATTAAATATCATTCTTGCCCTTTCTAGTTTTCTTTACATGTCACAAAAAATATGTATTTACTTTTGCATAACTCATAAGGATATAATGAACTTTCTAATTATAATAATACTCTTACAGTAACCTTAACCTATTGTTTTTTGCAGCTAAAGAAGATGTTTTTTCTGTACCCTGATCCACATTTTAAGAAGGCTAAACATAAATGGAGAATAATTAATAAATGGCTTTTGTCTGAATATGCTTATGTTTTGGGAGAGCAAGTATGTATGTAGAATAAAAATTTTAAGTAGTACTGATTGATTTATCTAACATTACAATATGTAGTAATAATCCAAGGTAAACTTTATAAAGTCATTTTTGTTGGTGAATACCCCTATTTCTACATCCAGGCATTTGGCTTTGTAAAATGTCTTTCAGTCCAAGGATGAGATAAGGCAGGGAAATTACAGTAAAAGAGGCATCATGATTATTTATTATTCTGTTGTGTAATTGTCATATTTTGGGTACCACATAATTTAGTGATGTTACAAATGTTCTGTTCTTGTATATTAGCTTATTTATCATCTATACATATAAATAAAATTTGAGTGTCTGTTTGTAATATTGAAATAACCATGTTTTACTACATGCATATGATTATAATGCTAATCTCTGAAATGGCTGGACCGATTTTGACGGGACTTTTTTGGCAGGTAGCTAATGTAACAAGGAGTAACTTAAGTTACTTTATTTTAGAAAATAAAGTTAAATGCCACATGGATGAAGTCGGGTGTACAACTAGTTATAAATAAACAAAAATCCTAAGTTTACCTATGTTTTCTTTGTAAATAACTGGTCTACTTAATTTTTAATTTAATTTTGATTATATTCGTTTATTTTAAAGATTTCTATTTCTTCAATTTATACTAACCAATTTGAAGTGTTTATTATTTTCCCGATTTTGATACCATATGATATCCCACAACACTGTCCTGTAACAATTTTACATACAAAATCGCCTACTTCATTCACTTCTTTATATTAAAATTTTGTTTGAGTATTTTACTGTGAAATGCTTAATCATTTATAATTTTTGGCTAATTTAACTCTACTAAGTGATTATTATTGCAGGGTGTGGTGTACACAATTACAGATGTAAAAGATTTGCATGATTGGATGGTATTACATTTCGAGGAGCATCCATTATTTGAAAGGATATGTGAGGAAGAGTTGGTAAGTTATATTAGATATTTGTAATATCTGCTAAATGTAGTATTAAACAATTAATTTTTATATAATGTGCAATTAAATACAATTATTCATGAATTGTAAAGGTGTTTCAAAACTTGAATTTTGATGGCCCCAAAAAAGTAAATGTGTTGTAGTAGTGAAATAAGTATTCAAATGAATTTAAAGTTTCAAATGGTAACTTCAAAACTAATTAGCACACATCATAAGTACACATTATATAGTTCTCTATCATGCAGGGGAAATCTATATATTTTAAGATATAGTTATGATTTTCTCCACTCTTTAGTGCACAATGGCGTTCAATATGGTTAAATTCAATAGAAATTTATGATAAAGTATGCATAGGCATAGGACCACAATCCACAAACTGGCGTTTGTGGCCTGTGGATTAATGTTAACACTTCATTCACAATATATATTAGGTGTAGAGTAGAGCACCTCAATAGTGAAAGAGAATTGCAATACATTCTTCGAACTTATGATATTTTTGGTTACAGAAATTGGATCCAATTGTAGAAAAGTTATATGATAGCACTGAAGAAGGCCAAAAGGTTACACGAAATCGGGGAGACAAGTTTCTTGCTGTATTTCGAAGAATATCTGATAATCTTAGAGAAAATACAATAAATGATGTTTGATATTATTGCTTTATTCTTAAGTTATTATAGCATATAAAAATATTTTTTATTTTATTACAATGTGTTTATTTGAAGAAAGTTGTAACAAAAACATTAAAATAAAATAGTATAGTTAGATTTAACAAGTTTTCATAAATTCATAATTATTCACCTCGCAACTATAATGCATAGAAATATAATAAAAGCATTTGATACAAAACCTAATTATTGATGGTAACTTTATTATTTACCACCAATTTTTTTTTCTAAAATACTAATCCACCTACTTAGAGGCCTTGTTATGTCTAAATGACGACGCACATGACTTGCTGCATTTAATATCCAGTCTTTTTGGGTAATCCACATTTTATGTGTTATAAGTGAAAGTAACAGTGCAGCCCATATCTCACATTGTTCTGGATAGATATGAAGTCCTTCTTTAGCTAGTAAGAGTGCTTTAACATGGTCTCCTGCAATATGTTCTGCAATACTAGCTGTAGCAATAATTTTTCCTGGATTACAATGTTGTTCACTATCTTGTGCAGAACATAGTGCTTTTTGAGCGCAATTGCTAGCAGCTTTTGCCCTTGTTTTTGAAGCTCTTAGACAATACTCTGACATAAAGTACCACAAAAGCGAGTTACTTGGATGGTCATGTAGAGAATCACTTATTAATTTTATTGCCTGTTCCATGTTATTTTCACATACAAGAAGATATGACTTCAAAAAACCTATGTCAAATCCAAACTCACTTTCCTTCTCATATTTTTGTAATTCATGCAACGCAAGCTTAGTCAGGCTTTGATCAGAATGCAATAAGCCAAGAGAACAAATGGCAAATAAACTGTAGGCTGTAGGTTTTTTCTGTGATATTTGAATACTGTGAAACACTATAGTTTTAGCATCATCTAACCCTTTAAACTTATACATAATACCAGCCATGGCCACAAGTAAATCAGCCTTTTCACTATCTTCGTTACTCAGCCAATTCAAAGCAGTATCATAAACAGAATAGCATTCCTCATATGAAGCCTTTTTGAAAAGAGCAAGAGCTAGACCACAAGTGGAATCCAAGCTAGCTTCTGTAATAGCTTTGTAGGATTTAATAGCCTCATCATATTCTCCCAATCTGAGTAAAATTCTGCCAAGATTTTGAAGAGTTATATTTTTATTGTCTTCCTCGGCATATTCATGAGCTTTTTTATAAGAACTATGTGCTGCTCTGAGAAGTCCATTCCTTTCTTGAAGTATGCCAAGAATAGTACTGGCACATGGGTTATTTGGTTCAAAACTAGAAAACCATTCAACTAAGTCTATGGCATAAGGAATGGCATAAAGACCATCAATTTCATATTTAGATTCTGGGTTTTCTTTATATTTATTTTTCTTTAAAGTTCGACACACCCAGTCTGCATACCCAAGAGCACTCTCAGGATGGTAACCTAAACGTGCTGCATGTCTGAAAAGATCCATTGCCTCTTGTTCTCGAATAGCTTCTGCTATTAATCCTTGCCCTATCCAGCTTTGAGCGTGAGATGGTAATGTTGATTGCCCACGCCAGAAACAATAGTTAGCTAACTTATGAAGTTTTAATTTCAAATATAAAGTCCCTAAATTGCACCATATCTTTGCTACAGACCATTTACGGGTTACTGATAATGCTTTGATGAAACAATGTTGTGCAATATCATATTTTTTTATAAACAAACAGATTTTACCAAGCAAGTTCCAACTACGCCAAACAGTAGGATTTTCTTTAATGCAAATTGATGTTAAATTAAAGGATATTCTGCAGTCTGCCAGGTTTTGAGTGGCATGATAATAAGCAAGATATGCTGATGCTAAATCGTAAGAAGCCAATTGTTGTTTTTGTTTTGATATATGGGAATAACACGCAATTACTTTTAAAAGTATGTCAGTTCTTCCAAATTTAATGGAGTCTGCATTTGTATCACTGAACGAATTTTTTAGATATGCATAGGCATATTTATTTGGCAACTTTGTTATGAACATCAAGGTTTCTGCTAAGAGTTTCCAGAGGCATAAAAAGTTATTTTGTTTTAATATAGCCTTTATGACATATTCTATTGCATTCTGAGCACAATCTCTAGCATTTCCATACATTTTAGCTGCTGCTTTTTTCTTTGCAACTTTTATCCATGTTTCTGAAATTCCTTTAAGACATAAAAGAGAATGAGGATTAATCACTAATACATTTTCAAAAGTTGCTATTGCATCTTCATACTGAGTCAATAATGTATATATGTATCCAATTCTTGTAAGACAATGAACAGTTCTATTAGGATCAAGTGTTATTACTTTATTGTATGCTCTTAATGCAGATGTGTAAGATCCCCTAGAAAAGTATGCATCAGCTAAACATTCAAATGCAATAATATCATTCTTATCATTTTTAATAACATTTCTAAAACTTACAATTGCATTCTCCCATTCTCTAATATTTAAGTAATGTAGTCCTAATCTGAAATTTAACCAGGACTCACAAGGTTTTATGTTGGTTTCTGCTGTTATAAGTAATTCAAAATTCTCTTCCTTCATATTAAGTTTTATGTATACCTCACTCAAATGTTTAATAGTTTCACTATCTGTATTAATCAAGCTATAAGCTTTTTCATAGCATTTTTTAGCCTTCAAATAATCAGTTCTATAATTATATATATGGCCAAGATATAAAAATGTTTCACCATGTTCAGAATTAAGTTTAGCAGACTTTAGAAGGTTTATTAGAGATTTGTCATATTGTTTCAATTCCCAATATGATTTTCCTAAATAAAATAGATGTAAGTAATGGTTAAGGTTTTCTTCTAATAATGTTATTGCTTCATTATATTTTGCTTGCTTAATATATAGTTGAGCTTTAAGTTGTGCAAAATAATTTGTTGATTGCAATAAATTAATAATTTGGTCAGGTGATTCATTGCACTCAATATAACATTCAGCAAGAGTAGCTATCTCAGCTGTGTCCAAAAACTCTAAAGAAATATCATTAGCTGTGGAAATGGCATTTTTCCATTTCTTTTGATTTGCTAATGCCAAAAATAATTTTTTCTTCAGAAATACAGCAAAGTTTTCATCTTTTACCTTTGTCAAAAAAATTGAAACTAGTTTTTGTGTTGTACACCATTTCTTGAGCATCACTGTACAATTTATGATAAATGTAGCCTCTACAATATCAGCTTGATTATAATTTATTAAGGGTATGCATTGTTTGTAGGCATCTAAATACAATCCTTTCTCAAAATTAATCATACTTCTTAAAAGGCCAGGATAATTGGAGTTTTGTATTCCTTCAGTAATTTTGTCTACATACTGATCAATATCAAATCCACAGAAAGATTTATTTCGGATATACATCTGACATAAATATTTACATAGTGATTCTCGCAACACAACATTTGAAGAGAAAAAATTCAGACTAATAACTTCTTTAATTGCTGACATACAGTCACTTTTTTGTATGATAACTTTCATATACAGAATTTCTAATGCATCATTTGGATCCTTTCTATAAATTTTATCAAGAACAGCTAATGTAACTGGTATATCATCTTCCTTACAAGGAACATCAGCTTTTAAAATATGTATTAATTGATTTTCTGCTGCAAACAGCAATTTCTCAGCATAGTCCTTGCTCAAATAATTTGCAATTATCTTAATACTCTCACTATTCTTCAAAGTACTTCCTAGTTGACCTAATTTTGTCAACACTTCTAAAGCTTTATCTTCTTCTATTTGTAAATTGAGGATTTCATTGTAGATAGAAAATAATTTCATCTTATCATTGTTTCTTTCATAGTAGTTAGCCAAGCCTTGCCAAGCCAATGGTTGATCAGGTTTAGTTGATACAGCCTTTTGGTATGCTAAAGGAGCTTGATTGGAATCTTGGAGTGATTTTCCAAGTAGTACTAAAGCCATATAATTCTGTTTATCATTCCGTAAGATGCTTTTACAGCATTCTTGAGCTTCTTCATATTTATTTTCTACTATGAGTTTCTTTGCTTCTTTTAAAAGTGATTTTATATCCGCCATCTAGAACAAATAATAATTTGAATAGTGTAACACAGGTAAGATAAGTGATTGTTAAAATTAAAAGAAATCCTTAAAGAGTAAATGACACTTAAATATAGAGGATCTGTTTAAATGATTAACACTTATCCCTGTGAAAATGTGTCATTTATTTAGATATACCGGTTTTATTCTATTTTAATACATACTTGAAAAAGATGTACAAAGTTTTATGTGACAATACTTATGGAAGAGGATTGTTAGTAATCGGGACTAGTGGCCTCAAAGCCTGAAATGCCATATTTGGTTAACCTCCAAGCAATCCCTCTCTCCTGGAAACTATTGTGGTTGATTCATACTGAATTTGTCATGATCGTGTGTGACCTGACTTTATTGTCGTACTAATAATTTTTCACTGGTACTTAATTACCCCCTTCCAATCGATTCCCACCCAATTCAAACGGGGATCGAAATTACGACAGCCTGAGTCAAGGTTCGAATCTTCTGCGGTGCCCTCAGACTAAAGTCGTATTCGTTAGGCTAGAGTTGACCTTCAGCCACTCCAATAAGTCTTTCAGCAAGTTTGGAGTGCCATCTGCACTCGTCTCCTATCGTCCGGTGAAGCTGTAGTCCAAGTGCGGCCAGCAGCATTAGGGTAGTCCGAAAAAAGGTATTTTATTATAATTTAAACTTGGAAATAATTTTATACTGAAACTACATTAAGTTTTATAACTTACCGCAATATTCGCTTCTATAAAATCTATTATATTTTAGACATTTATTTAGCATATAAGTACTGTAAATTAAAATGAAATAGGTTAAAAAACTTGGATTCTGTTAAGATATGAATAAAATATTATAATTGAGGTACAAAAAGCAGCTTTATATAATTATTTTTGCATTATATTAAGTTGAATTTATTTGACAATGATAGATAGAAAGCCTTTTTTGAAGAACATTGACAATCAAGTGCCAGCACAGAGCACAAAAAAAATGTTCTATTTTTTCTATTTTCCCGTTACAGGGAACGGCAAAAGGATACTCATACAGCCATTGTTTTCTAATTCCCTTAGTCAAATATAACTGTCACTGTCATAGACCTGTGAAATAAATTCACTTGTAAACAAACAAAACATGATTTTTATACCGGTAACTGTTAAGTTTGAATGAAAATATAAATTAAATACTTTTGCTTCTAGTTGTTTAGTGCTTTTCTCGTGTTTTTCAATTTGATCTGTTTTTGTTGCAGTTATGTTTTTATTCGTATTACTTCTAAAGAATACGTCTTAATGCTTTTCATAAAATGTCGCGAGTGTTATCGTCATATATTACTAAGCTAAGTAAGTTAATATTATATAGATAACTCTGAATAAAGTAATATTTTTATTAAAATGAAAATATAATTCATTTTACAGATCATCCGCTCAAAGAGATAAGAGAACGTGCACTTAAACTTTTAAGGGCAAAGTTAGAATTAGGATGGAAACTAGAGGACGAATTGTCAAACACTAGAGAAATCCTAGAGGCTTTGTTGGCTTGGTTTCATGTTCCACAACCACCAACGTTGCAACGGGAGGTAATTGATTTATTACACACCACAATAAAGGTTAGTATATCTATTAATTATTAGTATATATAATAAAATTAGGCAAAATTATTAATTTTTAATGTCAAAGAGTTCCTTTATTTTTAATATTATGTTGCTGGTCACCTATGTATGGATTCTAAATGTATTAGCCCAAGCAGTGAGAACTGTCTTTATGTATACATCTACTCACTGTCATACACAATATGTAAAATTCTAATTGCCACCATATTGTAACAGTCCAATTTGGGTATACACAAATGTAGTGTAGGTTACCAACACAAGTTTTCAGCAGTTAGCCACTGTATATCACATTGAGATGCTGGTGCTATCATCGATAAGAGATCTTTTAGGTAATTAATCAATCCAAAATTATCACCATAAATTGTTAATGGTTATATTAAAAGTTGATGATATAAATACTTGAAACAAGTGTACCATTCAAACCTATTGTAGAAGTGTAATACGGGTGGGTATGAACTAAGCAGCTTCTAATACTACCATTTATTAATTTTAATGATATTAAAAGTATGCTTTATAAATTAATAGATTAATATCTAGTAATTTTAATTAGAACGCCATGTATAGTAATTTTTCACATTATCATAAAAACACAGAAAGAGATGGAGAGCACCACTCTTTGTTTTATTATATGTATATAGATTGGAATTTATTGTTCTAAGAAGGATTAAGTAGGGATTGTCTCAAAAATATGTATCCTAATAATAAGCGAATAGAATTGTAAAAGAAACTTAATATGTATAGTAGAATGTAATATTGTACATTTATTTTAGACTAAGGCAGGAACATATATTTGTAAAGAGTTTGGGATTAAACAAATTTTATCCAGCTTAGATCAAATAAAAGACAAAATTGATGAGGATGCATTGGAAATTTATGAAGATATTATAGACATACTCCGTTTCATAAATACAGTAGAGTCAGAGGAAAATATAACTGTGCCCCGACTGAACATACCTTCTATGTCAAGGTATGTATCACTGTTTATATACTTTCAAGAGGTGCTATAATATTAAATTAAAATGAAATTCCAGTTTTAGTTTTAAATACATGTTACAAAAATTCTATTTTCCTTGTTAACCTCACACTACACACTATACCTCATCTAGAGACTGTTTTACGCTGCCATACTCAGAGGCATCTAATGATTACACTTTATTTTTCAAGACTATGCAAGTTGTAGGTTTAAACTTCAATCCCAATGGAAATTTTTGTTGAAAATCATAAAGAACTTTAAAAGGCTTGAAATTTTTATCCCTTGAATTGTTATGCTATTAATAAAGTTTAGACAAAGTTTGATTGTCAGTTTCATTAAAGGATATAAGCAATAATAATTGGTTTTTCAGCTCAGAAAGTGAGGATGTATCATCCTCCAATAATTACTGCAACTTGGGTTGGAATTTTGGAACATCGAAAGAAACTGCAGATTCAAATGAAAAAAAGGAAATCAACACTTCTGATTTGTTAGTGGCTAAGCATTATATTTGTATGTTATATGTACATATATTATACTTGTGCCATACTGTGTATTATTTAGAAGGAAGTTAAAAACATAATATATTAATTTGAAACTGTTAAAAACAAAACAAACAATTAACACTTTAACACTATTTTAGGACTAACACTACAGAGAGTATCAAGCTACTTCTTTTTCCCTGGGTGGAGTTAGCTCCGTCGGATTTAAAGACAATAAACCTTATCGAAGATTCTCTTAAGCTATTAAAATCCACCCGAAGATGTTGTCGGTTTATTCGTGATGTGTTTTTACGTGACTTTCCTCCTGAAATTTTCTTGAATCGACCGAAAATAGTTAAGGTATTAACTATTCCATTTATTACAATTTAAATATTTAATTTATTAGTCATTGCCAAATTTAAACTGGACATACAAGTTTATGTCATTTCCAATAGTTAAATAATGTTTTATTGCTTTATTCCAGAATTTGCTTTCCATATCAGAAGGTGCAAATGGCGGTCGGCCAGGGGAATCTTTGCAAGTATTGCTATATATTACTCATGCATTACGCAAACAACTTATACAGTTTTCTAGTGTCGACTTGATTCACGAAACCAACAAGGTATGATTTCTGCTTTTCAAATATTTAGTATCAAATTAAGTGAATTTAACTATATAATAATACTAACTATGGACGATTTATACAGCGCCATCTAGTTCCAAGCGAAGCAGAACTTGTGAGACAACTGATATAATAGATTACTTAAATACATTTTTTTATACATAATATAGGTTTATATTATTTTATATAAAGAATATATTTTTTACATATTTCGATTATCTAAATTCTGAATAAACTAAATGAGCAAACAAACTTTTGTAATTCTGTATAAAAGCAGTAAAGGTACATCGAAAAATATTCCAGGGTACTCATCACATTAATTGTTATTATTTTCCGTCCACAGGTTTCAGTTGACTGTAAAGAATTAGATGACAATGTAAATATAGAGCTTGAACAAATGACAAGTGATGATGACATACTCCAAATATCACCTCACCAGGATGATGGTTTAGCAGCTTTGAGACAGTTGCCTGCACCCACATATGCCCATGATACTTTGCACTCTGTTTTGTCTATAATGGCTAGGAGTGTTGTATTAGTTAATACTGTTGATAAGACTGAAGTTTTAGATCTGGTATTATTATTTATATTTATTAGTTGCTTTTATAATTTATTATCGAGTAACACGTGTGCCGTGTTATTGGTCCAAAACTATACAAAAGGAATAGAATATGTATTTTCATAACTTGTTACAACTTATAAATCTGTTGATGGGTCACAGCATTCTAATTACCATTACAACACTATATCTATATACATTGGGAAATTATGCCGACCCGTAATTATAAAATCACCCATTATCATTTATTTCAGAAAGAGCTGAATACATGTTTAAGTTTAGTCGAATGCCTTATTAAGTTATTAACAGACTGCGTTAGTGAAACTTTTTGGAGCGTAGATCACAATTCAAAAACTCTTAGAGACATATCCCATAAAAGCTGTATGGTGATGCGTTTATTGGGAGATCTTTTAATGAAATATAGGTATGGTATTCTAGAATTATTATGAAACTGTGACAACGACGAGAAATAATATTAAAATGGACTAATTCTTTTCAGTAAATCTTTTACCGACGATTCATCGAGGATTTATCATCGTATTGCATGGTTACGTTTAGTGCAATGCGCCGAGTGCCTGTTGAGTTGGGCACGGGAGTCTGCTTTGCCTCCCACTTCGTTGATACTATCACTGCAGGTGGCTCAGCTCGATCCAGCACTGCAACTGTTATATCCAGAAATCCATAGAAAAATCGCACTAGCTTTACAGGTTTGCCCATCTAATTTTCTAAAAGGAATATTAACAGTTTTTTCGACTGTCAAAATATTGTAAATACTTTTTTTTCCAGAATGCAAGAACCTCTGTTGACCAGGAATACAAAAGTAAATATAGAGAACTCACCAAGTTATTTTCTTGTATGGATGACGCCGTAAAATTTATGAAAAATAAGAACCGTTGCCGCAATACCAAGGATGTTTTAATTTGTATAAAGAAATCTCTTCCCGTTCTGGAATTACATCAGAGTGAAATATATATAAACGATGTCGCGAATATGTTGTTAGATAAAATTAAAGATTTTAATTTGAATGATAAGGATTGGTCTATTGCACGTAACATTACTTTGAAACTAATGGCTCACAATTTAGACTGGGTGCGTGCAAAATTTTATATCATGATGGCAGATATGGTAAAGTTGGCTTTAATCACGGATGATGCCCACCAATCGGATATGGAAAATAGGTTGATGCTATTATGTGATGTTGAAATATTAACGGAGATCTGTTGCCAAGGACTTTCTTCAAATATAAAAGAGGCCAGTGTCATTCTTAAATCCATTTGAATACAAAGTATTAGCTTTATTGACATATACATTTATTTTTTGTTTTATTTATATTCTAGGTGGAAAGTAGTGCCTCTGAAATAATACTGTATTTATTGCGCGGGCGGATGGTATTCAGCGAGAGCTGTTGGTGGAGGCTGCTGGCTAGTATGCTGCCAGTATTCCCACTGTTGCATGTTTATGCAGCACATGACACACAACTAGGTGAACTTGAAATACTGTTAATAATATTTATATATACAACATATAAAAGTTTGTTTTGTAAATATATAACAAAATTATCTAATTGGGATGAATAAGGAAGGGGTCTTACGATTGTGGGTCTAATATTTTTAGTAAAGAGAAAATGTCTTACATCGGAATACAGACTTGAACATTTTATTTAGATGGGTTGTAATACGATAAAGGATATGATATAAATTAACTAAAATAGAATGGTAAACCTTGTCTATTTTATTGAATAAAGCAATAATTGTTCTTGATGTTGTAGGCCAAGCGATTTGGAGATCTGTAGAAGCTGACATAGCAAACTGTATGGGAATACCAGTCGCTGATACAATATGGGGACGAGTGCGCATGTTGTTTGTGCGCTGTGTTGCTATACAGCTTGAAGCTGCGCATTCTATTTGCCAGTCATTGGGTTCGTTGGTATTTTATTTATACATACAATTTTAAGCTACTCATTTTAAATAATATTAAACTTGGACAATTCACACAGCGCCATCTCAAGCTAAGTAGACTTTGCGTTATAATTACTAGACAACTGGTAGAAATACTTTTTTGTATTAGTATACATAATATATGTACATAGAATACATGCATTGTGTGAGGAATCGAACCCGAAAGCGCTAAAATGCTAGATTCCTCGGAGATTACTCAAATCTAAATCTAAATCATAGTCAAGTTTTGCGTCAACACATTATAGGCCATAATTTTGCTAAATTTTAAAGAATTTTGTGGGTAACTTACATATCATTTTACTAAATGTTAATAATATTTTAGATGATGACAGATATTTGCCTCCGAAGGAATCTCTACGAGCTGATGTACTTTTGAATGCGTTAAGAAGAGTGGAAGTTCAAGATTTTAATATAGATTATTCCAGTTCCCCTTCTAAAACTCCACAGGTTTGTCCTATTTATGTATTTTTTCTTTACTAGTGATTCAATTTGGCATGTAATAACTTTGTTTTGTTTGTATATGTTAGTATAATATACAGCTTAAAACTCTGTGGGATAATGGACCTATCCAACAGTGAAAGAATTTTCTCAAATCAGTGCAGTTATACATATATATATATTTTAATACATAAAATTATTTGTTTATTTAAGACTACCGGTCTTCTACAAATAGTGGATGTTCTGAAGCAAGACTTAACTCTGGATGAGGATGGAACTCGATTAACGAGTTCGGGTCATCTCACACTGGAACCTTCGCTTCGCCGAGGCACGTTGCAGCAGTTGGCCGTGATGCTTCGACAGCAGGAGTTGCATGAAACCTTTCTACAGTACGATGGGATCAAACTTATTGTTGCTATATTGAGGTGAGTTTTGTCTTATTACCGGAGTAGGTAGAGCTATTTTATGTACTTGCTATATGATAGAATAATATGGACATTCCCTGAATCCCAGGATTTGTTTTTAAGTCGAAAAATAATAAAAAGTCTTATTATTTTTACACAGAAGAAAACATATACTTCCTATAAGTATAAAGACAGTTTAAAGGATAGTACAATAAATAGATATAAACTTGATTCATTAAACCACATATATTTGTAAATCTAAAAATGTCTTATGTTTATACAAGAATCAACAACCATTTAACATTTTCATTTTACAGACTGTCGCTAATGGTTGATGACTATCTCGCCTTTCCTGAATGTGCGATCAGCTGCGTGTCAATATTAAATAGTATTTGTTTCGTGAGTCGCCACACATTGTTAAAGATACAGGACTTAGCGCCGTTATTAATTAGAGGTAAATTAAGTGTTATTTGCGGAGAAATCATACTTTTTAGTCAAACCTAAAGACGAATATCTAATTCGAGATACAGGCTATATACATCTTCAATACTTCAATGTGGTATAACAAATAAAACTACTATGAGTTCATAACAAATGATTCTGGAATACTATGATATTTATGTCTGAGAGCGTCACAAATATATCCAAATGTTTATTGTAATTTTAAATATTTAATATTTAGACAAGTTTATTGACAGCCTCGGTGGCTTAGCGGTTTAGCACGCCGCCTTACTTCCGATGGTCGCGAGTTGGAATCCTCATTCGGTACAAACATATGTATTCATGAGTATGATTGTTTGTATCAATCTGAGTGTTTTCTTTGTATAATATGTACGTATTTACATCAGTTATCCAGTACTCATAACACAAGCTCTGCTCGATTGTCCTTAGATATTATATTACATGTGAAACTGTAAATGAAATTAATCTCGTGTTATTTGGATTTACAAACAGTTATCCTAGTGTTCCCCGCCGATGAATCCGCTGTGTCGATGACCGCCCAGGTGTTATCGCTAACGGCCTGGGCGGGGTTCGCTCTGCAGGAACTGGCGGCGTCAACCCGCCGCCGCGTGCCGTCTCTACCGGCCGCCGTTGTACAACGGACTGCACTGCCATTCGCCACTAACACCTACTGGCACACTAGCCCCAATGCCGAGCATTCTTCTGTTGGTTAGTATTTATGAGATCAGAGCAACATTAACGGTCTTATTACAAAAAATCTATTAAAACTCGGACGAAACGTGGTCTAAATGGTCGAGGTTTAAACCATTCCTAATGTTATATTATTAATACTTGGAATAAACCAAGTTGGAATAAATTAGTACTACAGTTAAATCGTTCATTATATATTCCCCACAGATAATATACAGAAATCAGTCACTCATGTCTGTCAGCGGACAATTGCGTTCCATTTTACCAGAAAACTGAAATGATCAAAAAAATTACTTCAAAGATGAATGTATAAAGTAAAAACCAAAAATATTTGTATTTATCTATGTCTTCATTACAACTATTTCAATAATATATAATATTTATTACGTACTATTAAGCTAAAAATCAGTTTTAAATTACAAGTAAGGACGGAGTTACGAAGAAAAGAAACGGCGAGATATTTTTATTGGATCGATTCAAATGGTGACTATTTCAAAGTCAAAAGAGTGAAAAAAATAACAAATGCCGTCTTTTATATATTTTTATTATTATTAACTAGAAATATTTAAAGCTAATTGTACAAATTAGTCTTAAATATTTTTAGTTAATATATTTTTAATTTAGTTAAGCCTTTTTTCAAAAAACAACAACTTACAATACAATGCAAACTCCATTTTAAAACAATATTTTAAAATGGAGTTTGACTTTTTCCTTTCGACCACTGTTAAACTAGGGGCATCGCAGGTCTAACTTTAGACCAGAGACGAATCACGGTTTAGAGATAAACTTTGTTTTGTAATAAGGAATACTTTAGTCAATGGTTTATTACTAGTGCTAAACCAGATTTATCTTTTTGTAATAAGACAGTAATAGTCTAGAGGAACATTAATAGCATGTACTACGACAGTAAAGATATTGTCGGATAAGTCTGTGTGAAGTAAAGGTTATAGAGCATCGGAGCATCATATAATGATAGGGAGGGAGTTCAACTATTGCATTATCGGGGGAAGGGAATTTTAATAAAGTGTGCTAATAACTTCATTGCTAGTAATATACCATGTCAGTTTGATTTCCACGTGGTTTCTACTGACGTAATTCTAGTGCTCATCTTTTCATCCTCCAATGGTGCCAGCGTAAACCGTATCCGCAGCCAGGTGCATTATTCCACTTCTCTACAAAAAAAACTATATCGCTATCCACAGAGTGGTTACTCAGTGAGGAGCCGTGGCGGGCCGCTGTCCGTGTCCGGTGGTGGTGCAGCTACCACAGCGGCGCCTCGGGCCTGCTGCGCGGTCCCACGAGCCCGGGCCCGGAGCCCGCGCCCGCGCCGCTATCACTGCAGCCCACGCCCAGCGACCTGACTGCACTAAGAGCTGCGTGTCCTCTTCGTGCGGCTGTTAACGGCTTGCTAGCGATGGAAAACGCCACCTCTCATAGGCAGGTGGTTGACGCGCTCAATATTCTGGAGAGGTAATTGATTGTTGACGATTATTAACTGCCTTTATACGTACCCTCACTCATGCGCCAATCGCCTTGCAAGCGGGAAATTGTCTGCATGTAGCTAGCCAAAGAGAACCAAAAATAATAGCTAGATCGCATCCTCTCGTTGTCTGTAAAAAAATATGATAACTGCCAAATGGCAGGCATGGTACGCAGACAGCTAATTAGATTTGTCGATAATTTGTAAATTTTAACCCTGTCTTTGGAAAATAAAATCTCGGAATCGTCAACATAGAATTTTAAGACAAAATACATGAAATACACGGATAATAACGCTCTTAAGAGTGCACTAATAAAACAATTATTACTAATTGCGCGCGCGCTTTTCTGATTTTCCTTTGCAGGACAAGAGAAGTGCATTTATTTAAATCACTCGCAGCTTTGTCCCCGTGAATTTGATATTTAAATATGATAATCATCTTGACATTTATATTATTGGTAGAATTCAATTAATTTTTAGTTATTTGCATCTGTTACCATCGTCGTGTGTGACTGGAGCGGAGATGTCGGCGTTGCCATGGCAACATACTCGACGGTTTCTTGCTGCGCCACCGGCGTCATCGCGCGATTCCGCCCTACTTATCGCGCTCATGCAATTCATTCTGATTTATATGGATACCATACCTACTGACTGTGAGTTATAAAAGCGGTAAATATTTACGAATCAAATAACCAAACGTGCATGGCAATTGTTGATCTTTCACGGGATTTTCATAGGCACCTATAACCATAAATAAACTAGCTTTAAAAATAAAGAAAATCAGTTGAGTTTCTTAGTTATTATTTGAATCTGTATATTTAACTGACCGGTAGGAAAAAAATATTAATTACAAAAAACTTGACGTTCACGAGCGATTAATGTTCAACATGAAATAAATGATTTTTTAATTTGAATCATTATGGCATAGATGGTTGTAGCCAGGCAGATGGCCGGTTGTAACATCAACTCAAAAGCTTTAATTGCATAGGAGTAAGAAGATCATCAACATCAGGCCAGCAACTTAACGATGCATTAAGAAATATGTATTATGTTTATTGACTATGGCATTGTATTATGCTTTGTACATTCAGTAGTAATAATCTGTCGAGAACTTTACATTTTAATATTGAGCACTGCATTGTGTTTATATTATATTTAACAAAGCAGTAGAACAAAGGCTTTTATATAGTATAGAATAAATTGAATCAATTAAAATTGAGTAGTATCAAAATTTACAATAGCTCACAAAATTTGTCAAAGAGCAGTACTTCTAAACTATAGAAAACGTTACTACTATGTACGTCTTAGAGAATTAAATAATATTCTCCATAATAAATAAAATAAAATTTCTGCAAAATAAATATACGTAGGTTTACAATATACATAGCTAACGATGAAATATCAATACAATAGCAAACAATGGTTTTTTCAGGGACAGGTTATCTTATATTGTTATATTTAATGTTTCTTTGACATTTTATTGTTATTTTGAAGCTGCAATGATGTCATGGATAAAATCGTACTTCATTGGGAGCGACTCCATCGTCATATCTTTATTAAGTCGTGACGAGCAATCTCAGCTGACGCCACAAGAGAACATTGAAGTAACACAGTTGCACATACACATTGTCAAAGTAATACTACGTTGCGTTATGCTCTTAGAATACGATGACTATGATAGCAGCAAATTGGAAAGCTTACTAAAGATCTTGTTGGCTTGTCTGGAGAAGATTGATTTGAAAAATTTTCATATGCTTGGTATGTATTTTCTTTCTATAAATTCAAACTCACAGTTTTACCGAAGCAAACTTAGTACAGAGTCGTTTGTCTTTTATCAAAACCAGTTTCTGTTGATGATTGATATAAAAGTAGTTGTCATTGTCCTTCGGAATGGCAACACATGTGAGGTGGTATAACTGTGGTAGGGGTTATGTGATGACATGATGACTCTAGTGGTGTTAAAGTATTATAGGTATATAGGTATGTGTATATAAGCGACGATTACCACTAACTTTACTCACTTTACCACATGGTATATTAGCTAGTTTACCATTCCTATTACATAAAAAACATATTCTAGAAACAATTTTTACTTCTCCATTTATTATAGGATTAGGCATTATATATTAATATAATTACTATAGCTTGATTAATTGATTTGATAAAAGTTATCGTTTGATTTGTTTTCTTTTTGAAAATAACAAAAAAACAACTTAGTGATATCCACAGATTTGCACCTATATAATTAAAATTAATCGGGACATGATTGTACTTATTACTGAAATATGATTATTTCGCTTAATACTCTGGATTTCGCATGAGTACTAGCATTAATTTGGTTTGTAAGAAAGCAAAAATAGCGGTGAAATTATAAAGTGCGTAGAGGAATTTAATTAGCTTTTTAATACTGAAGTAATTATTTCAGATTAAATGATAGAAATGTGCTAATATAGTAAGGCATTCTACTTTAAATGAAAAAAAAAACTTCCTTAAACTTACTTAACAATATTAACTGCAAACATTATTTTTTTACATATGATGTATGTATCGATCGATGTAAAAAGTTATTTATTATTATTTACTTAAAGTTTGTAGTTATTAATTTAAATTAATGAATAATGTTCTTCTAGGGTACTTAAACGAATTGATACGCTGCATACGATACGTTTTGCATTCTCGTTATTGCAAATTGTCGGAAAATACACTTCTGCAATGCCTCCAAATTATGACGAACTCTCTCAGCGGGTGCGCGTCAGGTGGCGGCTGTAAAGGCCAGGCTTGTAGATTGGACATATGTTTAGTTTTGCTGGCTTTAATGCGACAGATTAATGAGGAACAGATACCAGTTCAGGTATGTGCTATAATAATGTAATAGTTGTATCTTTAAAGCTCGTCTTATAATTCTGAGATATAGGACTAAAACTACTAGGTATATACGGACGCATAACATGACTAAGTTAGTTATCAAGAATTGGGGCGGGGGACGGACGCCGTAATGTACATTGTGATGTGTTTTGATTAATATTATTATAAATGTATATAATAGTGCTCTCACGAAATAGATTATTATTATTTTTTAAATTATTAATTTATATAATATAAATTTTATGTATATTATCGGACGGTACAAAAATATGAACGAAATGTACAAGACTATATTTGATTTTATTGTGTTGTCTAGTGTGTAATAATGCATATATATTATTTTTTTATTTATGTATATTTTTTTTTGTATCTGCCCTGTTTATTTATGCAAATTGTCAGATATCAAGTTATGTGATTACATAGATTATTCGAAATACGTTGCTAGTTGATGATAGTCGTACTCTATTGTTTATTATGGGTAAACGACCGCCATAATAGTTATTAGCTTGGAATTGACGACGTAACAGTGATGACACTAACACTTACTCAGGTTATTCATATTGTATGACCTCTATAGTTTAATACAGTATTAAATTTATACAAGTCTACCAGTTGGATAAATTATATTATTTATTCCTGTATAATAATTACTATATTGTTTATTTTTAAAATTAGAACACTTATTCAAAATAAAATTACAAAGTACATTTTTAAACATCATCATCATTATGTATTTGACTATACTATATATAATGATATAATTTTATTGCTGTTCTATAAAGCCGCACAATGTATTAGACGCAGTTGTAGACTCGGGAAAAACTAATTAGTTCTATCTATGAAAGATAGTTCAAATTCCTAAGATTGTTACCAATGATTAATCAATCTTTCTACATATCAGTATCAGACAATTGTAGTATTGTTTTTGATAAAGGTAAAATTGATAAAATTCTTGTAGAATTTGTAAAAATTTTATTACTGTCTTCAGAAATTGTTCAATTGGAATAAAAGTAACAATTCCGTAACAAGGGACTGAGGCGTTTACATAATAATATATTAGGAGTACATATATTAAAGAACTATTAGCTTTATGCATGTAATAAAAAATAAATAATAATAAAATTATGCTAATATTGTATGTTTTATGTATAATATGTATTTTTTTATTCAGGGTAATGTTATGTAGTCGATTAAAGTTGTATAATGTGGCTGTGTTTGTATTAAACTGCTCAATATATCCACCCAAAAAACTCTATATAGACACAATTCTAGAAAATATTAGTGCATATAAATTTGAATATAAATGTATATCTCTAAACAATAACAAAAGATACGCTTATTTAAAATGTTTGTTGACATACAATGATAAAGTTTATATTTTTATACTGACAATAATAAGTGCTACTTCTTTGAGTACTAAATAACAAGATGACATGTAATATATTTGCTATATATAAATGCTCTTATGTATTTTAATTATATGTATGTATTTTTCTTATTGTATTATTTGAAAAACATAATATAGTTGAATTATGTTTCGAAATTATCAGCGTTCTTGTTTTAATTATTTTATATTTGCATGTGTTAAATTAACTAAGTTCAAATATAACAGATCTTCGGTTTAACCATGTATCTTTAGTACTAGTAATATTATGCAATATATTTTAGTAAAAACTTGTTAGCAATTAATGTCTCCTTACATACTATTAAAATGGTTAGGGTTCTATCGATTCTTTAAAACTATAATATGTTACTATAAAACATGTTAAGCGATTGTCACTTGAATATTTTATTTTAAATTTAAATTTTTATATTTTGTCTTTTGTTAATATTATAAAAAAAACTATCATATAGCCTGAAGTATCAAGACTAAATTATTAATAGAATTGATGTTATGAGAATAATACGACAAATAAAGGTAAATATATGTGAATTATATCCTAAACCAGAGATGGTGTGACTGTTGGAGCGGCGAGGTGATGCGCGCTGTAGCGAGCTGTGGGTTCGGTTCCAGTGCGTGTATTCGCGCCGCTACCCTACAGCTCATGACGTGTTTACTCCACCATGTGCAGCTACTACCACAACTCTTGCAAGGTAACCACAACATTTCCTTCAAATATATTATTTATTAACTTTTTATACCACCAAATGTGTATTATAAGGATAATTCAAAAACTACTTCTCAGATGTTGATCAAATTTGTATAGGACTACACCTGAATAAATTTGTAAAATATCAACAGCATTCAAGTAAAACCATCAAAATCGATTAATGTCGCACTTAGTAGTTTAATTGAGAAACTCTTCCTAATTATGTAGATGGATGACAATCATTACATAGTATTACAACAAAGTTGTCGCTGCTGTCTGTACGCTTACTTCTTTTAAAGTAAGTAACGAATGTTAATGCAAGTTTTCAGTACAATATTCATCCGACAATTTCAAAGATTTGTAATGCAAACCAGCGAAGCCGGGTCGGGTCGCTAGTATATTATAATAAGATACATATATTATGAGAAAGACGAGCGAATTCTGGACATTTTGGTGCGTTTGTTACGTGGTTAACATTTGTCAAATCTTCCTTATTTCCCCATCGTACATTAATAATGATAGTAATTAAATATATTTCAGTGAATTATATTATAGTAAACAATAAAATTGTTGACTCGTCCACTAGCGATTCCCGAAGAATCTCTGTCGCTTCGTGCCTGTCGTATACTTTGTGGGCGGAAGGAAGCGAACGTAGTAAGGGCAGCAGCTGCAAGGTTACTCGCTGCTGTAACTGCCCGCACTTCGCCGCATTCTAATGTAAGTTTATATTACTATATTTTTTTGTTATTTCTCTAGTCCATTCTTGCGCCAGGTAGCACTTTCTGTTTTCACTTCTATACCTTACTATAGTAAGTGACGTGGAGTTTGCAGTCTATTAAGTACACAACTTTTCATTGTATGAGGCCTTCAAGCTTTATTGCAAAAATTGAGAACTAGCTTTTTATTAAACAGCAGACTATATGAACTTTGGTTGCATCAGGTAACCTAAGGAATGTATAGAAATAAAACGTTTTTTATTCATTTTTATAAATACGTATCTGAGCTGAAGTTTTATGAATACTTTGGGAAATGTCTTAAGTTACATTTTGAACATTATTCTGTTGTCCTTACGGTGCTAATGGTTTATAAATTATGTATGTATGGCGTTGTGTTCGATTATTATGAAATTACAAACATAATAATAGCGACCACCTATGAAGATTGACTCGGTATTTCGATTATAATGGTCGCCATTGTGTTCGATATCGGAAAAGAATCAGAATAAAAATGAATTATAGTTATCTATACGTATATTATGTGATGTGTGCATAGTAAAGGCATACTTAAAAAACTTTAGAAGTATGTATGTACATTTAGAATTCTAAGATGTTTTAAAAAATCCATATTACATGTTTTGCGTTTTCTATTTCATCATATCTGAATACCATATCATTCGGACAGTATAAAGTACCTATAAGATATTGAAAAGTAAATAATGTATTTAATTATTATCCAATAGATGAGCTCATAATACTATTTGTAGTAAAGCTATTAAATATGTATGTAATGACTTCATATTTATTGCATTTAGAATTACAATAAGTTATGCCAGATAAGTAACATTATTGGTTCTTTACAATCTACGTAGTAGGCATACAGAACATCCGTGGACTGTAATAATATATTTTTTAACAGATTGCATATGGAATGCTGATCAAATTTATCGATAATCGTTTAATTACAAATATTATTTATATCGTAAATTACGGTTTTATACTTCAAACACACATTTGTAGTGCTGTGGCCCTATAAATATAATTACAATACTTTTGCCATAATCCTCTTTTCTTTATCGTATATTATTTGGCACCTGCGTAATGTCTTTTTCTTCCATTCTGGGATCCATTTTTTACAGATATCTTTCACATGGTCCAACCTTCTCATTATCTGATTTCATTTGCCTTTATAAATATCCACATTCATATAATAATACATTTTCATTAATATATCCTCTTTATCTGAATAGCTTCCTTTTTCAATTGTGTTTGTGTTAAAAAAATACAGACATCTTTACAAAGTTCACTTTTATATTAGTGATGTAAATTTACAATTGAAACTTACAAGGGTTATTTAAAAGAGCAACACACAAGTTTCTTGCTCGTTCTTCTTGTGATGAGACAGCTTTCCGAACGAGTGGTAGATAAAAAACAAATTGTTATGACTATTCAAAAGTGCTTAAATTAAGTTTATTTGAATAAATGATTTTCTATTCTATTCTAAATAATTAGAAATTATAAATCTTGAAATATTAGTTATATTTTTTTATATTGTAAAACATTTGACATTATATACATATGTATGGTAATGATGTCATATGTTGTTCTGTCTTTTCCAATCGGATATGATGTGTCTGTGAATTTCTCTCGACACCACACAACATAACCACTGCATAAACAAAATCTTAATGTTTGAGTTATAATACAGAAATAGCACACGATACGTATCTTATTACCATTCCTGTTTCTGAAAACAATAGATGTCGTAAAGTGGAAAATGCGGGTATATGCTAGTCACGGGCACCATACGTCATTAATCGGGGCCTTGAGTACGTGCCGAGTATAGGCAGGTCCTTATCATGAGTTGTGTTCGCTAACTGTCGGCCGATACACGTAGTACACTTCATTTGTGGGCCGGCAGTCCGTCCACACTGCCGTCAGCGTCGCGCCCTACAGAGAGCAGACGTATCGCGTACCGCGTAAATATACCACATTGTTTACTCACACACAATCGTACCGGCATGTTGTGTATCCCTTGCAAACAGTATATTAAAGATCGATAAGATCGTCGTACGTATATATTTTGTGAACCGGAAGTGCATTAAATCAAGAAAATATGTCGTTCATTGTGATATTGCTATTGATAATAGTAGCGTTAGTTGTGTTACTAGCTATTATTCATTACACAACAAATGGAAGGAAATATTGGCTGTTGAAAAAAGTGCCTTACAGAGAACCATGTCCGATATTTGGGAATTTTGGGCCAATATTCACAATGAGGCAGAGTTACACAAAAATGTTGCAATTTTTTTACGATAAGTACAGTAACGAAAAGTACGTTGGAATATTTCAAGCTCGTAGACCGACGTTAATGGTAATAGATCTGGATATTGTGAAACATATATTTTCGACGGACTTCCCTCACTTCAGCGACCGTGTGTCTGTTTCTACTGATACACGACGAGAACCGTTGCTTCGTAACCTGGCTAATATGAGTGGTGCAGAGTGGAAAGCGATGCGACAAATAGTCACACCCACCTTTTCCTCGGCGAAGATGAAAGCAATGTTTCCATTGATCGCCGAGTGCGCTCAAACATTAAATAAAGTGCTACAGAAGGGATCATTAGATGAAGTTAATGTACACGACTTAATGACACGTTATACGACAGACGTTATTGGTAGTTGTGCATTTGGTGTAGATCCAGAATCATTAAAAAATCCTGATTCTCCGTTTTTTAAAATGGCTAATAAAATGCTGAGACCTACTCTGTCTACAATATTGAAAAGGTATTGTCGTACCTTTTTTCCCCGGATATTTAGACTATTGAATTTGAAAACATACTCACGTGACGTTGAAACTTTCTTTACATCTATTATTAATCAAGTCTTAGCTGAACGAAGGACAACTTGTGTTCGAAGAAAAGACTTTCTTCAGCTTATGTTGAACGAACAACATTCACAAAATGCGTTTCCTATGACCGACGCTTTGATAACATCTAATTCGTTTATATTCATGTTAGCTGGTTTAGAATCGACAGCAACTACTCTATCATTTTGTTTATATGAGTTAGCCAAGGCCAATGATATTCAAAATAGAATAAAGCAAGAGATTTCGGAATGTTTGGATCGACACAATGGTTTGAATTATGAAGCTGTTTGTAGCATGCGGTTGACAACACAGGTGGTGCTGGAAACATTGCGGTTGCATCCTCCGACACCTCTAACGACTCGTCTCTGCACTAACCCATGTACACTCAGTGGGACTGACTTAAAAATCAAAGCGAAAGACCCTGTACTCATTCCACTACATTGTATTCAAAGAGATTCAAAATATTTTCCGAATCCCGATAAATTTGATCCGGAACGGTTTAAAGACGATTTGAATCCACCAGGGTTTATAGCTTTCGGTGATGGACCGAGGAGTTGTCCGGGTAAGTAGAGTTTAAAATTATGTTTATCATAATTGTTAATAACTAATTAGGAGGTACTTTTCTTCTAATTAAGTACTTTCAAATGCGGTAATTATTTTGTTTTCCTAATCATAATTTTTGTTTACTTATTTTTATCTTATAATAATTGTTCGAAGTGTGATAACATATCCCTAACGTGTTAATGTATTCAGAAACAGCGTTGACATGCCAGCAGTCGTAATTTTGGTACAGACTAATGATATCAATATTTCCGATAGATACTGATTTTCATAGAAACTTTTTATATCGATCCAGTAGAGGTTTAGAGAGTTTTGTTTATCATCTCACCACGATATAAATAAATTTCATTGTTTAAATAATATTGGTACCTATTAACATCTTTGTTCAGGAACATTGTTACATTGTCTCTTGAAGAATTATAAAGTAAACAAAAATTGAACGCAATTTGTTATATAAACATTATTCGAAAGGAGACATTAGGTAATGTTTAAGTAGACTTATCAAAAATATTTAAAATGTATTAAATAAATCCAATAAAAAGACAAATAATAATTATCATATACATATAAAAAAGTCTCTATTTTATGTAATAATTTTGAGCATTTATAAATAGTATATATTTTATTTAATTTTGACCATATCCTTTCTTCGACTGCTGTTTTTAATTATGTATTATAGCTAGCTACCTTCCTGAGACATAAACAGTTAATTAAGAAAATACTCGGTTTTCTTTAAACAACGCATAAGTAGGCACGGAAACAGCTAGTCATTCATAAAATATAATATTCTCTTTGAAAATTGACAGATAATGCATGCGTTGCGAGTCTTACCTAGTGAACGACTTTAATAACCAGCAAATTATTTTTCAGGTGTTCGTTTTGCCCAACTAGTGGCCGTGGCTGGTTTGGCAAGTATACTGACCAATTACGTCGTGGAACCGTGTGCCCGAACTACGCCACGTATCCATTATGACCCTCGCAGTGTTATGCTGAAAAATAAAGGCGGCATATGGCTTAAATTTATCTCCCTAGAATAATATTGTTGACCTAAAAGTCTGTACTTATACAATAACTATTTTAATTTAAGAGCTACTTGAGCAGTTTGCTATTGACTGAAGTTCTAATAGATTTAAAGTATCTGTATATCAATTTATCAGATTCGACAGAATACAAACAGAAGTATCTTATATTTATAGTATTTACGTGAATAATTATAAATTTGAGAAAGGTTTTTTAGTATAAAGAAAAAGATTTATAATTGTGGTTATAACAAAGATAAACAGTGGGAAAGCTAGTACTTATTTTTGTGTCTAAAAATACATAATAATATGTACTTACTTGTGGGTTAAATAAAAATATTTACACAAGCTTTTGATAAATTGAATACTGTGTATAATTGGTACTTATGCTTTATATAAATACAGTCAAATGTCATCGTACTGTGATATGTTTTTATAATAATACTCGTAAAAACAGTGAATGTTTTATGTTGGGTAGAGCGTGATGTTGCAATATGGCGGTCTAATTTCAATATATATATATAAAGCTTGGGTATAGCATAGCGCATTGCTGACATATTTTGCTTTCATCATTCCACGTATCAATTTGGACTTTGTATAAAGTCGTTTGCGTCGGCACCTCTGTCCTACCTATTTCAGTCGGTAGTTTGGGTTATAACCTATGTTTCGATTGAAGGACAAGATTTAGCAGTGAACAGGTACAGAGTGATGTCACCTTAGTCCTCTGGAATTAACACATGATAGGTAATCAACGTTACACAATATGAATCGGCTGGCTCAAGTACGGTAGCTGACACTTACCCTCAGGTGGGCAGTTTCAGTTTGATTGCCATTCTAGATACTTAAAATACCATATGGTACTATAATTTCTTGACTCGATTTACAGGAACTCCATGCAGCGCCTTTTTTTCAATTAATTTTTATTTACCTCAAACGGATTTCTTTATTCGGTGTGAAGATACGTATGGTATAGATATAGGTACATTTCGGTTAGCTATTATAAACACAGTAAGAATTAACATTGGCAGCAATAATTGTTTTTCTGTTTAAGTGTTATTTGTATGAAATTATTAATAACTGATGTTCTGATGCATTGAGAGTATGTATATTATACATACTCTCAATGCAGTGCACTGTGGGGTGTGTAAAAACGGAATATGTCTTTTTTATTTGTAGAAGATATAATCCTTTGACGCTTTAGTAGTGTGCAAAGGTATGTTTTATAGGAAATATTTGATTTCGTTTAGTATTGTAATCTATCTATGACAATCAAGCCTGGTAAACACCATTGTTATGTTTAATGAAACTGGTCGTCCCGTTCTAATGTATATTTAATTATTGTATTATCGTGTTAGGGATTAGCCTATGGACGTTTTCGGAGAAGGAAAAAAACTATTACTTGTAATTTTACCTTCTATCAAATTAATAAATTTTGGTAATAGCATGAGATACAATAGTACTTAATTATTTTAAAAACACGTGATGTAAATGTTCAATGTAAGTTTTTAAGTGGCAGTAATTATAAAATCATTTTATTTACTTATAATCAGTGTTAATTAAGTAGAAATATTGGATGTTTTTATTTTATACATTATACTAATAAATATCTCAATTTTGTGGTAGTATAACATTTTAAGTTTTTATTAAACTGTTACATTATATAGCAACATTTATGGTTTTATTTGTGTATCATCAAATCAAATCAATATCTTTATGCATGTAGGTCTATTACAGACTCTTATGATGTGTCAAAATCTATCGTCAGTTTGATGTGCATTCGAGCTAACAAGAACTGACAAGTACCTCAGCTCTTATTCTTTTCAAATGAGCTTGTTTACAAATTTATTGATTCATCTTATAGGTCTATAATACTAGACATTTATTTTATTTTCCAAATATTTCTAAATATGATTACTGTATTGTACAAAAAAAACTTTATAGAAGTAGATAATTATAGAAAAAAATAACAGTACTTTCTGTACAGTGTATACACAATATTACGGTAATATAATTCAGGGAAATATAAAGTAACTCTACAATAATATTATTTATATTTTATGACATAATCTCAAAGTATCATTTCTATTTACTATTGAATATTCCTAGAAATTAATTTCTCTCATTATCCTTATACCAGTATCTACATACATATTATGTATAAGTGGAAAAACCAACATTCTATTCGTTTATGAAGCATTATCATTGCTTTGAATGCACACTTTTACAAGTATCTGTATTATTTCCCTGTACTTAAATGAAATGTATTATTATTATTTCTATTCTACATTTATTGATTATTTTCAATGTGTATATGGTTGTTTGGATGTTTAAGGCGTTAGATATTATAGTCTATATAAATTAGCGAGTGGATTTACATATTTTTTTATATTTTTTATTTGGATAACAAGAACCTAGCTGGAATATATGGTAACTTATATATTAGCTTCTTTGGCTTATATATTGTCTTCGATTTCGACGCATATTATATGTTAATAGGTAGCACCGCTTACATATTTCTTGGTTAAGGTAATCATTTACTGATAAAAAAACACCTTCCCGTAGTAAATAGGTAAATTGTGCTGTACATTACTTTATACTGTTTATTCAAATTGAGTAATTACATTTATTCTTAAGTCTATATACAATTTATGTGGGTGTTAAACCGGAGTATAGTGACTTATATCTGCAATATTGTCAAAATAACTTCAGAATTGGTAAAAATATCATGTTAAACGAGTTTAAATGGATTTGAAAAGTTTGATAAAAAAGGTTTTTTTATATGATCAGATTAATGGTTAAACTAGGCAAGCTATTTTCAAATAAAATTATTGTAATGCAAATAAAATTGACTATGTTTCAGGTATTAGAATTAGAAGTATTAGAACATCTGAAGGAGAATAGCTTTTTGGAAAACTGTTTGGAGATTTTAATCGACTTTTGTAATGAGAAAGAACACAAAAGTTATTTTGGTAAGTTATGGTTTGGTTTGGTTATAACAAATTGTCAGTATTATTTAATTGTAATTGACATTCCATAAAAAAACCCTATCCCATGTCACCTGACTGGTAATAGATACCTGTATAAGAAGAGTACTTCTCTTATCGGGGAATACACGTGGCCTATAAAGTCAAAGCTATAGGTAATTAAATGCAAAATTATTTATGACTTATTTAATTCGTACTATGTTGTATTTTCAATCAATCGTTATCATTGGCAAATATTTTTGAAATTTACTTAATTTACTTTTAGCGATACTTGCTAGATAAGATTATAGTGAAAATATTTATTTATGTATGTTGTATGATCTGATATCATATCCGCATAATTTTTGTTATGTCTGTATAGATTATACTTTTTTATTTGTGTGTAATTTTCTTTGTTTTCATTGGCTTGTGATTTAAAATTATAATTATAATAATACATTTGTACAGCATGTAATAGAATTAACGTAACATAACTAGTCACATCTATCACACAGCTGTCATACAGTTTGTTTTTTAAGGGGTGTTTCGGTTGCAGGGAGAGATAAGAGAGAGGTCTGACGTCTTAGTCCTCCAGAATAGTAATGAATGAGCGCTCCATGATAACGTGGTGTCAGTAGTTCTATTCATTTATTTAGGCGACAGGTATAGTTTACCATCAGGTGGATAGCCAGCTTTTGTGCCATTCCAATTGAAAAAACATTTAAATTAATATAGCCAACATATTGGTTCTTTTAAGTTACCGATAGTGCTGGTTATTTATTAAATTGAAATTATAATCCTTATAACAATAATCGTTTAATATCTACACGTTTTAAAATTAATTTATATATGTTAGATACTATGGTATATACATAATAATTAAAATTGGTTTATCAAATTCGTTTAAGACTGATCATGGATCTTATTAAGAAAATTTTTTTAAATACCAATTTGTTTAAAAAATTATATGTACAACTTATAATCAAATTTAATAATAAATATAATATATATATATACTGTTCATTTATACTTGTCATTGCATGATAAAATGTTATAAAAGATAAAATGAAAATGAATTATTGAATGATGGATTGATTTAAAAATCTAGTAATTAATATATTTTTAGCTGTATGCATGCTACACCTGAGTCTACAGGGGGTCTTTGTTTGTGATATAATTTTGTATTAAAACTACTTTGAAATCAGTTAGGTATATACGCTATCGTGGTCAATTAATCAGTAATTAATAACGAAGTTTTCCAGGGCGTTGTGGAAATCAACTTAACAATATATATACGTGCAAAAGTGCCAATAGTTTCCACTAAAAACAATCAATTATTACAGTTTTGTGTGACTCGCTGGTATATAGGGTATTTTAGTCTCGCCTAGCCCTGTAGGGAACCGACATATTTGTACATTTGATCTATTTCAGCCCAAATAATCCAACATAAGCCTGTTTTATCTATTCCATGTTGTAGCTCTGGTTATGTTCCATTTATTGGTTCTGCATTGGCTGGCACACACTCACACATACACATGACATTATATTAACATATTTACTCAAACTGTTACCATAATCTTATTGTATACACCCATGTAGAACCGCACAAATGTGGGGTTCGTTCTGGTCTACTGAGATAGAGACCACGTGCCTAGTTCAGTTACGAAACTCATAGAAATAGCTTACATTATATACATTATTTTAACTTCTATATACTGTGATTGTGGTTTGATAAATGAATATTATTTTCATTATAAATCTAATTTAGGACTATAGTTATTACTGCATTCTTGTATTACATTTATTTATTAATTAATACGTAATTGTCAATATGTTTATATCTTAAAACTAATTATATATCTATTGATATGATGATTTCAGAACTCAACGTCCCTTTATCAATATTAGAGCGTCGTGCTGAGCTCGAAGTCCGGGCGCAGAAACGTGCTGACATCCACATATTACCGACTAGAACGCGGCTGTATGGCCGACCGCCGCCGACTGCTGACTTGATCGCCGTGCTAGCTGATGTGGTTCACAACACTAGTGCTTTCACACAATGCCCAGTACAAGAGTGGAATGAACAGGGATTGTACCGACTATTGTTCAGGTAATTCACAGGTCTAAATAATTTTCATATAATTATTTCTATTAAACATTAGTGGGCCGCTTAAGATGCACATGCTCATAACTTCGTGAATTTTATATAATATGAAAATATTTAAAATATATTATAATGGTACAATAATCCTTTTAAACAATAAGAGAAAATTATCAAATCGGGGTAGTGATTCTACCGTTTACTTTCATCGCAAATCTCATGTTATGATAATGTCATTACCGTCATTTTTCATATGAATGGCAATTTTTGAATAGGAATTTCATATTTCATTTCAATATGTTTGATTTTAATTTTAATAATTATAAGAATGTAGTAGTAATTATGACGGCGAGAAATAATATTGATTTATCTTGCCTGGCTGGGTGGGAAATTTATAATGACTCTAGGTGATACAATCTATAACAGGATTGAATGTGATGATAAAGCAAGTACTTGCCTATAAAGTATAAAGGTTTTAAAAGATAATATCAACAACGTGACTAAATCAATATATTAAACGTAATATTTACTTTGTTTTTTTACTAGTTTGTAGTGAGCAGCAACTGCTCTACCATATAGTAAACAAGTGAAGGTACATGCATACACCCATACATAAACAGAGTTCTATTTATGACGATTTGACATTTATAATAATAATAAAAAGAGTGTATTTAACACAACTCTGTCTAAAACAACGAATAGTGTCAATTTTGAATTAAGTCCCTTTTCAGTCAGTTTTATCAAAGTTGTCATGGTATTTATATAATAATTGTAAACAGATGTGCATCCTGGCGAGGCAATGATGAAAATCTCGCGCAGACGCAGAAAGTACGCGCCGCGTCTTGTCGTGCTCTCGCATTTGCATCCATGCAGAAATGTGTACGCAGTTCACTGGCCGCCACTAAAGACTGCTTGTACAGTCTACTGATGACATTAACCCCGTTGGAAGAAGGTGTGTTCATATTCCTATTCCTCCTTTACATCTGAATGAACTAACATTTATTTACTATAAGCTGTAATTCGCAACTTCGACTATACTAACGTTCATGCCCGATTAAACCTCGAATAACAATTTTCGAGATAAAAGATAGCCTATGTACATCGTGATACAATCATTTTTCAAGTCTTTCATTTTTATCCATTTAAAAGTTTAATCGTGAAAAAGTAATAAACGGACAGACAGACAAAAATTGGTTGGCATTAGTAATATAAGGATTGTAGTACAACATATGACACCCTTACATCTTTAATTCATTTAATTTCACTCATTAGATCAGTTTAGTCAGGCATACATTGAGAGCACTCTTATTTACTAATTTTATAAGTAGTCTAAGTATTAATAATAATTTTAAATGAAGTGAATAATTAATAGTAGATTAGTAGATTATAAAATGACGTCAAACATACATTTAATACTATCTTGTAAAGGAATCAGTAATTTACATTGTCATATATGTACATATTCTACATATTATAACTATAATTTAGTTTGTTCATTCGTACATGGCATATAGTGAACCAATGGTATTTCTTATGTTACTAATAATTGTATAAATCCTGACTGGCACAGTTTAGAACTGAGAACTTTGTATAAATAAATTGTAGCTGCAAACCTAATAAATTAATTAACGATATTGTATGGTTCCAAATTAAACTTTTTTATATATTAGTTATTTATATCGTATTGAAATGGAAACAATTTTATTTATTCCAGATGAATTTGACGTATATACGATAGAGGCCCGTTCTCAGGCTTTATTGCTACTTGGGTCTCTACTAGGCGAGCGTGCGGCCAGCGAGACCGTGTGGTATGAGCTCAGAAACCGACAACCAATACATTTCTTCAGTTTACTATTACAGAGCTTGCAAACCGACGAAATTGGTTAGTTGATAAGTAGATAAGTAACTATATTACCGTTATAAGGCCACGATTCTTCAATCGTATTTTAAAATATAGCTCAGAAACTGTTGAACATCAAATTTGGTTCTCAATTGAACAAATCTCTTTTTTTAAAGGTGTTCGAAAATAAAGTACTGTATAATTTGTATTCGTGTCTAAGGTACGACCTGTATATATCTGGATATTCATAGTCTTTGTATTACTCGTTTGTGTAATATATCATCATAAACAAGGCGGGTGGCTTGGTATATTGCTAGCAATATAGTATTATTAAATCAGATTAATTTCCTTTCATCCAGAAATGAGAATTCACCAGAAAATCTTCGGTGTTGATTCCTGGTAAAACCGATGCCCTAGCCCTACCTCACATCAAGTTTATCCCGCACTTCTCCAGTAGTCACCAGCGTATCTATAAACATATACCTACATGTTTTTGTGTACTCTGTCAATATAAAATTCTTTCTCAGAATTTCAGTCAGCTGGCTTGTACTGTTTGTCGCAATTAATCGTATCAACACACAAGAAACTCTCGGATAAGACTACTAACAAATCACTGATGGACTTCTTCGATAATGTTAAATCTCCATTTGCATTACCCGAGGGTGCTGTGACCGCAAGAAGCGGCGCAGGAGATGTGGTAACGGACTGTCGACCTGACTATATGGCGGAGGAGTTGTGTAAAGCGATTATACATATATGTCAGAAATCTACGCTGGAGATAAAGCAATATCAATCAAGTCAAAGTATGTAATCCATTTTACTTGATGTTTTCTTTAAGTACTTAATATGAACGATGGATTTAAAGGGAGATTCATCTGTTTTTTTTTTCAATCGGACGGTTGGAGTGTGTGAAAGATGATATGCACAAATAGAGAGTAAGCTCAGGTATGTTGGCCGATAGAAATCAGTGAAGATGACATACTGCGCCTACTCTTTAAATGGGATAAAGGCAACACAATGATGATGGAATGGCAAACGAACAGTTTATCCTATTGAGAGTTCTAGGTGAACAAAATTGTTTGTATGAAGTATGAGGTTTTATAATATTTTTTGACTGCAGATGATGCATGGGTGCGCGCGCACGCGTGCGCGGCGCATGTCATAGGCGGTAGCGTGCGCGCGCGACTGTACGCCGCCCACCGGCGACTACCGCGCACGCTTCTGCTAACACTGCAAGCCTTGCGCGATCATCTCTCGGTTGTTGGGAAGCCGGCTGATATTATCCGGAATGCGGACCATGTACTGTGTCTATATTTATTCATTTATATGCTATTTTATTATCATTATTATATATATCGCCAAAGACTAATACATAGTAAGGTCGTCATATTCCCGTACGTAATTATAAAAATATTAGTTTTAATTAAATATAAAAGTATTAGTTTAAGAGTTTTTTGTGTAAATAACTAATAACTTGATCGTAGACAGATTCGCATATAGGACTATTCAAAAATATAAATACCTATGTTTTTATTTTTGAATAGTTCTACATACATATCACGGTTGATGTCCAAAAAATATAATTTAACACTTGTTATAATTAATTTTATTCTTCTCATAATATATCTAATTCAATTGAGATCTATTTGTTATTTTGTATGGATTTATAGCTACATAATATATTAGTCTAATGTTTTCATTTCGTAATTTTTTAAGGTTATCTATCGTTAACATAGTTGTATTAAATATTACCTACACATTTTTACAGAATCCTGTTTTACATACCCTGTACTGGGTGTTGATCGTCATCGACTGTCAAATGGTGAATTGTATGTCAGCCAAAGAGGCATTCGCAGAAGACAACATAACAGTCTCCCTGTGTCGACTATGGCCGTGGTGCATGATGACGGAGCGCTTGCGATTTACCATCATACATCTGCTGTACACCTTTGTTAATAATAGTCCTAAAGGTATTTTAATCTACTTATTTAGTTGTACTTTTTATTTATGGACTACTAGCCATATGCCACGTTAGCCTCATGATTTATAAAAATTACACGTGTTGTATGTGTTAGTCTGGGATATGATCTATTTGTGTAACAAATTTCATACCAATCTGTCATTAGACTTCCAACCTCCTTACATCCACAATAGTCATATGACACAATATATTTACATGTCTATTAGTTATTATGTGAAAGAGTAACATATATTCATTTGTTCATCTTCATAAACTTTCGTATTTATAATTTTATAGCATCCTACTATAGTATGGTTCAGAAAACGTATATTTAATTTTTAACGTTTTATTATTGTTTGTATTTTGTTAATGTTGGCAATAAAGGTTTTATCTATCTATCTTTATCACGTTAAAGACCGCATGCCCACCGGTGGTCACTCCGCAATAACATTACCACCACGACCACACGAATTGTTTTAACTGGGGACCGTTTGTTCACCTCTAGGCATGATTTGAATTAAAATGTATGTACAGTAGTTCATTAGCTGGTCCCTCGAAGAGATACTGCATATACTTAGTCAGTTTGACATAGTTCCATAGTCTCTCTAGTTAAGAATAAAAAAATGCCGGTCCCTATGTGAGAAATAAGGTTTTTCATTGCGGTCTTCAACGTGTTATTAGTAAGGTGTCATACAGTAGACTTGTATCGGTGTCCGCAGCATGGTCGGCGATGTGCGTGTGCGTGTCGGGGCGTAGTTTGGCCGGCGAGGTGTGTGCGCTGGCGTCACGTGAGGCCACGTTGGTCACACGATGTCGCCGCACTGCGGCTCAAGCACCGCACGCGCTGCTGTTGCTGTGTATGGCCACGCTGCGCCGCATACTATCGCATCATCAATGCCGCTCTATTTTCATAAAGGTAGCAATTTTGTTAAGATATGTAATTATATACTTCGATAAGGTTACGGTTTCTTGGAATGGTTATCAAACGAGACTGGAGATAGATATAGTATTAGTTGTAATAGTATACAAAACTTGAACTTAGTTGGAATTATATATGATACTGAAGCTTTTTCACTAAGGAATAAAGTGAAAATCTGATAAAAAAACTTGAGTTTAGTTATTAGAAATAGAAATAGAAGTGGAGTCACTACTAAAACAAAACAGCATTCTTGTTATTTTGTTTACTTGAAATATAAATAATAATAAATATATCTATACTTAATAATATTATAAAGCTGAAGAGTTTGTTTGTTTGTTTGTTTGTTTGTTTGTTTGTTTGTTTGTTTGTTTGTTTGTTTGTTTGTTTGTTTGTTTGTTTGTTGGAACGCGCTAATCTTAGAAACTACTGGTTCGAATTGAAAAATTACTTCTGTTGGATAGTCCATTTGTCGAGGAAGGCTTTAAGCGTTTGGGCGTTTGCAAAAACTGTGAAAATTATTCATATTTGAGGGTTTCTGTTGCGAGGGCTGCGCGAACGGAATCGCGGGCACGGCTGGTGCAATATAAGAGTAAGTTAATCGAACGCATTAGAAGTGAGTGATAAAATTTCGTAAATGTGTTAAACAGCCGTCTTAATCGTGTAATATATAAATGATTCTAGAGCGAGGTGTTGCGGACGGTGTACGTAGGTGGCGCACGGTGGCGCGGTCCGTTGTCGCTGGTGTGCGAGGCGCTGGCGCGGCACCCGGAGGGCGCGGCCGCACTGCTGGCGCTGCTGGTGCCGCCCGCCTCCGCTTCCGCCTCCGCCTCCGCGTCCGCAGCCGTTCGAGCCGCACTACTGCCTGCGCTCGCGCATGCCGCAGCTCACCATCGTAGCGTCTTCTTGCAGTCGCGTAAGCACTGCCTATGTCCTAACTGCGATCGACAAATTTCTACAATAAGGAATGACACGATAGGCTGACTGCACTGGTGCCCAGCCAGCGAGGTCGGGTTTCGTTAGCGCGTGTACCATTCCATTATCAATATTTGTAAAAAAAAGATATCTTCCACAGGGAGGAAGAGGGTTCTTAGTGATGTGGACTGATGACTCTATTGCTAGCAGTGTACCATGTTAAGAAAACTGTCATGATAAATTCTTGGTAAATTTGTCACGAATCGTGATTCACGATAGACAAACTTATCTGAGTTTATATTCGTCTATCATTCTCCTCTGGTACCTCGCTGGCGTAAATCTGGAATCTGAATATAAACTCAGGTCATTGCCTATCGTGACTGGTGAATTTGTCATGATAGGCAATGACCTGAGTTTATATTCATCTATCATCCTCCACTGTTCCTCAGAGAGCGTATACCCTTAGCGCAGGCGGGTGCAATCATTCTATTATCATCCGTTAAAAATATAGCTTTCACAGAGCAATTAATACTACGTTTTATAAGAGTTGATATCGGCCTTATGAGAACTGTACTATTAATGAAATCTATGTAATAAACTGTAATGGTCCTAAAAAAAGTGTTTGCTGAGCTGCATACATACATTGTTTTGTTGAAAATAACCGGATAACCGGATATATTTGTAAGCTCGAACGCTTATAAATATCAGATATATTTGTAAGCGTTCGAGCTTCGTCCACTTCAAATGAGGATCGTAAATATGACGGCCTGAACCGAGCACCGAACCTACATCGGTGCTCTCAGGGCAGTAAAGTTGTATTCGTCAGTTAGGAGTTGACCTTCAGCGGTTCAGTAAAATAATATTTCTACAGTACAAACTGTCAATAAATCTATATTGAATAACCAGTTTTAAAATATGTACACTATCGAGGCGCTAAAACACCCGCACCATACCGTCACTTTCGCAGTTACTTTATACAATACACATTAGACAAGTATTTACAGGAAGTTAACACGTACCCGTGTGAAAAGTCACTATTTGCTAAGTTTATTATGACATCAAGACCGATTAACAATATGATCTACTGACAATACCCACCCACGCAGACAACTTAGTACAACATTCTTCGCCTTGTAGTCTTATTACATTTAAACTCCCTATTTCGTGGTTATACATCTATCTAATAACTTAGAATAAACATAAAGAAACCGCCAAAAACCGAGTCAGGGGAATGTTAAAAGTAAAATAGGATATATCTAGATTTATATATTTTTTTTGTTTCTCTGTTTGTACGAGCTAATCTCCGAAAGTGTTGGACTGATTCAAATGAATTATTACATGATGTTACATTAAATCCTCGGTCAACAATAAAAAAATTTATTTTTGGAAAATTAAAGAATTCCTCTGGGATAGTTAAAAATTTATATTAGTATTTGATTACTGCCTTATCTCACCTTTCGACCGAAACACGGCTTGTAAAGCTATTGATGATATTCAGGTATCCTCGCAGACTTTTACAAAGTGGTAAACTTTGTAAAAGTCTGCGAGGATACCTGAATATGCAACCTCATAATGCATACATGGCAACTAAATTGTGTATATTTTTTGCAGCTCATCTGCTGGAACTTCTTTCTGGCACTCTGTTAACTGGCGATACAGAGGAAGTGACATCAGCGTCCCGAGCTGTATGGGCTTTAGCTGCAAATAATCATAAGGTACAAGTACAAGATTTAAATAATATTTAGCAAGATATAGTAAATACATAAATATATTCATGAGTAAAAATATAATAATTTAAACCTAGCTAATCCGTTATATCACACCGATATTATTTCTGTTGGATGGATGAGTACAAATGTTTGCATCGGGCGAGAAATTGCAACCGCGACCCGATGAATGCGCGTCGACGATGGCGTCTTGTGACTAGCTGTTAATACTTTTTAATGTTTTAAAAAATATCTAGAACAAATTGTAGTTAAAGAAATATTGAACATATTTATCACTAAATACAAGGAAAGTAAAAAGGATTTCAATCTTCGTGTGATGCAGTATCAAATAAGCAGAAGCGAACTGAAGATTATATGACTACCTATATGTTAGTGGGAGATTCTAATCTTTTAGTATGCTACGCTTCATCATGTAGTAAATTGTTTGTTTCTTTACTATATCTATATGTAGGGATAGGACAGTCCTTATAATTTTGAAAAAAAGTTTCGTAACCAATTTTTGATAATACGTTGCTGTGAACTATCGTAATTCCCGTCTCTAAATTTCTAAATGTATTATAATAATATGTTGGCAACTATTACAGTTATATATTATAGTATATTAGTAATTGAAGATTTTGTGACTTTGTGTATTAATTATACATAAAATATGGTTTCAATGGTTGCCAATGTGCATGATATCAACACGAGATTTAACTCTATTGATTTCAAAGCCAGTCATCCTAAACCCTTTTAATTCAAATGAAAAAGTCAACAATATGAAGAAATGGTTATTATGATGCTTGTATATAGTAGTTTAGTTATTACCACGTTATCAATGCAGTTGTATTGAGTGTTTTCTTCCCCTATTCCCATCTTATTTAATTCTTACTACGTCACCAACGGATAATACGGATGATTTAATTTAAATAAATATTTAATAATATTTATTTAAATTAAATCATCCGTACGTAGCAATCGCCGAAACAGAATCCATTAAAGTTTCGACATATTTCCATGACACCTTTTTTTTTAATCTCATGAAATTTTACATACGCGTATGTAATATAAAAGACATGTATATACATTTTTAAGACAGATATTTTAAACAGTTCTGGATTTATCGTTACAATCAATTTTAGTTGAAATGGCACAGTTGGTGCTGTGAGCACTAATTTATATATTATTTTTAAATAGAGTTATATGGAACATACCTATGATTTATAAGTTATCCCTATGCTTAAATGCAGACTACTTTAACGATCTTGGAAAAAGAGGTCGTCTGTATTTCTTTATATTTTCCACGTCACATTAGTTGACTGAGAACCAATTTTCAAATTACTGTATTTTGCGATACTTCTATGTTCACTCATACATATATTTAAAGTCATTTATTTTGTGGAAGAAATATTATTAATTCTCAGAATTATATATTTCGTTTTTTTTTCATTTAGGCCAAGCTTCAGCTTCGAAGTAGCGGTGTAGTTGCAGCTGTGTACTCAGCATTACAGCGGCTGCAACGCGAACTAAAAGATCCTGCAGCACAGCGAGTGCTACAACTTCTCACATACACCAACAATATCTTACAAGCTACTTAATAACTCAAAAATAAATATACTCTTGAATATCATTGAAGAAAAATAAATCCGAATATAGCCTATAGAAAACTCTTTTCTGAAAGTTTGTTTGAACTTATTATGTGTTTTGAAATCGAACTCCACGTACCAGTGATCCTGATAAATACTCAATGAAATGCTGAAACAGTATTATGTGTTTTATTTCAAATACTACCAGTAAAGTTGTGTGTTTCAACAGGTTACAGCCTTTACCGTGTAATAGAAATGCCAATAACTGAAATACAACGACCTTACTCAAGGAAGGCCAAAGAATACAGAAAAATTAATTCTTCATATAAACTGCGCGGTTCTATGATCGATTATGCAAATTTTTCTCATATTTGCATATTGCAGTCTTTTCTTTGTCATATCTTACTAATATGATATCTGTGGGCGTTTATCTCCTCTACTTAAATACTTGTAAAAAAATGTATTATAGTGAAACAGTTAAGTGGAATTTAATGAAGCTTGGTATACAGATAGAGCATATCACACACATCTGATCTTAGTTCACGTGGGCAAGACTTAAAAATATGGATGCTTAACACCCGGGTAATAAACCAATCAATTGGGTAGTTAATAGCCCGTTTGTTGTAAGAAATGTAACACGTGATATGCACACATCTCCGAGAGTATTTGAATACAACCTACCTGGCTATTTAGCGCTGCCACAGCTTTTGACATACAAAGTTATGGTCAAATTTGATTTCACGATAGTCATAGCAGTACAACAGTAAGATCAGAATGTTTACGAAATTGTCCAGTTTCATTGATTACTACCACTGAATAGAAGTTTCAAAGAAAGTAGCTGTAACGTTTATCATTATTATAATTATTTGATTAAAATCATATTGAATGAGCTTTACTGTAGCCCAATATATTCAGATAAAGTTACCAATATAAAAAGAATATAAATATGAACAGCTGTAAGAATTATTATATAAATATAATATAAATGTAAGAATTGATCGTAGCTATGGTATATAACCTAATAATAACGTAAGTATACCCACAATTGATATTATATATTATTTTGATGCAATATTTTTAAATACCATCCGTTTACTACTAGCGAAGGTACTTAATTAAATGGTATTACTGTATAATATTCTCTTGTCTGTTATATTACGAAGGTACAGCACTCTGCTGCAAAAAAATCATATATAGAAAGAAGCTTTTAATGTAAGTACAAAATGCGTTAATAAATAAATGCCTATTGAAATAAGTCAGTAATTCAATAACTCTGCTTCATTTAATTCCTACCAAATAGCTCTGTGAATATATACATAATAAATGTATTCTCATGTGTTTTATTCGTGAATTTTAAATTGATGTATTATTGTAAATATGAATTTGAATAAGTGCGTAATAAATATTTACATTTCAAGAATTTTATCGACATTTGTCATTATAGCAAATAACACTCAGGCTTGTCTATTTGTTTACAATTATTTCTGCCTATCCTGTAAGAGCCCTCACGTGATAATACAGATGCATTTATTTAGTATTGCTTTTACTATTTGTGTGTGCTTTTATCATAATATAAATACTATATACTAAGGTACAAAGGTTCATTTTTGAAGACGGTCGTCGGTAGTTTAAATGTGGTAAAAATAAAACATTTATTATACATAATATTACGATATTCACAACAGTGTACCTATTAGTTATGCGTTCACGTCAATTGTTTGTTGCTTGGCGATTATGACGGTATAAAATATCGAAAAGCGACCGCTTACCCGCAGTTCCCGATGTTAAAATCTACAACAACTACATGTCTCGTTTATCCAGTCTCGCCAAGGCCGGGTCTGCGATAAGGTTCAAGGCGCGGATAGCGCCACAATCGGCGCACACGACGGCCAGTACGAATTTTATGGAAGTTTGCGTTACTCATTATCGGCATAAAAAACGATAATCCGCGTTTGTGCAGGCGCCAGTGCGTCCGCGTGCTCCTGCCCGTCGCACCTATGTGGTTATAGTTTGAAACGAATCGATCTTTACGGAACAATGGATTGGCGATGTCACCGTGCCTGGACGCGCAGAGACTGACTTACGTCCGTGCACCCTGGATTGTGTGTCAGTGTCAGTGTAGTGTTTGGGCATGGAGATCTCTCCGCGGTTCAACTTCCCGCCGGAGAGCTACTCAGCTGTTTACACGGGCGACGACAGTGCGACTAGTGCGAATGTGAGTACCGGTGAGTGGCGAGTGGCGTCGTTATCAGCGCGCGGCGTGCGTGTGCGCACCGACAAGGTCGCAACGGCACACATTGGTGCATTCAACTCGTTTGGTTAAACGAATTAATATTTGTACAATCGACCGGCTTCCCTGCTTCGGGTCCCTGTTTACGTGCTCGTAGTATCGTAGTTAGGATTCCACCAACCAAATAGCGATCTCTATTTGGTTGGTGGAGTCCTATTACCTTATCAAATATTAACCTTATTATGAATCTCTTTCTAATATTATCAATTACGATATTGTGTCCGTAAAACCATCGCAGTGAATCTTAATTTTAAACATTGCTTGCAATAGGGCTAATAGTCCTAGTATTAATTTGATACTAACAAATCCCTTCCTCTGTATACTAATATTGTTAAGAGTTAAACTTTCATGTTGGTCATGGGCTGCATACACATGACATGTTATGATCGGTTTTAATACTCTTGTTTGTTTAATTCCATTTTTGGTTAATAATATAATATACCAACATACGACAGATACCTAATATAATAAGTTACACATTTAACTTGCCTACGTAACATGAGATGGTAAATATAATATTTCAACTTTTATCCTTGTCCGTTAGGCAGTATTATGCGTCTAACAATAATATATAACTTAATTCACAAATACCGTAATGATAACTTGTTCGAGTTACGATGTTCAATAAATGTACCTAGGTAATGTATTTAATTCATATGAGCACCGTATGTGCCCACCAGCACCAGGTAGAGTTGGGCACTCGCGTTCCGCTGTCTGTAGTTGCGCCGAGATCATACAAATGTCTTCCAAAATAACGGAGGGACGCGGCTTATGAGGAATACCAGATATTAAAAATGTTATAACCGATTGTATATATCTTGAATGTGTTTCAAACTAAATATGTAAGTGAGGCCGCTCGTTATCCGTTAAAGCACGCACTCTGGCCGCATCTGCTTTGTTCTTTTGTTACGTCAAGGTTAACGCGATATTATTAATAACTTTGTATTCGATAATTTTATCATAAATTTATGTAAACATTCCAATTATTGTAACAACAATCAGGGACTTTGTAATCCTTAAGTTCTGGACACAGTGCCCGAGTCGGAAACTTCTATTAAGAAAAGAAATGTATTATGAAGCTAGTGAAAATCAGCTGCAATTCCAAGGGTGGGTTAAAGAACAGACGTGTAAAAAGAAATCAGTAATTTCCTCTAGATTCAAATTGCTATCAAATCATAGTTATATATTGTAGTTAATAAATAAATTAGCTCGATGTAGCGTGATAACTATAAGTACCCTTCGCTGATTCATATGGCTTTAATCCGGTGAAGCTGTAAACGCATAGGCCTTTACAGCTGACCATAATAGTATCGTCTTTACAACTTCAAAAAGGACTTACAACATAAAAAAAAATTAAGTTCAATGATAGTTTTTAGGAAAATTTATTAACCTAAAGAGTACTGAAATAAAAGGATTGTTACTACACAAATGTATAAATCTTCATCTACTACGGCTATCCGTTTCCTGTTTTCAAGAATAGTGTTTAAATAAAAACTCTTTCGGTATCTTCGGTACCAATTCCCAGAAAATAGGTTTTCGGTGCAGATACTGAAAGTTACTTAGAATCCACCTTTTGATTTCATTAATTAATATCATGAGTAAACCCTGTACTTTTTAAATTAATATACTCTTTGGCTATCTTTTGATATATTGTCAGATATTCACACTTGTAGAACATTTATATATTATAGAGCATAAAAATATCTGAAGCAAAAGCCAAAGTTTTGTATAATACGGGCTGAAAGATTGTTAAATAAATACATAAATATTGTTAGGACCCAATAGCGGTGTCTACTCCCAGATGGGGTAGACCGAGACATTGTCAACTAACTTGAGGTAAACGCAACACTTGCTTTCTGCTACTTAAATTATTATAAAATTTGAATTCGATGTAGTAGGCGAATCTACAACCATCAAAATTTCGGCGTTATCATCATCATCCTCTAAGACATTTATATCTGGTGAGATAGTTTGCTATTCCGGCTATAATAAAATAATAAATGTTCCTTTATGATGTTTCATCTGATAACTCTAACGAAACTCATATTTTTTCACAGCAGGCGGAATCCAATTCCAAATCGGCTATTTGTCACACTTGTGAGACGTCTCCGGTCGGATCGCCGCTGGCCTCAATTACCACTCCACCACCATCACTTTTCAGTTGCTTCCATTGTGCAGTAAGTGTATATTTGTTTTCATATCTAATTACATATATCCAATACTAGTGTTTTTCAATATTTTTGAATATGCGACCCTATGTAATTTGAAATTTTCTATATTCGCTATAAAACGTAGTGTATCTGTCAAACGTACACATTTTTACTTTGATATAAAAAAGATATGCTCAAAGCATTTGGAACAGAGTACAGGAATGGACAGGACGCAATATTCTGTTTATCCTGTTCAACAAATTTATCCTAGTGAGGCGGATGAAGTTGTGGATAAAATGAAGTAAGAAAATAAATCGCTTATTCAGTGTACTTATTTACATGACATTACTACTAATTGCTATGGCTCGTTCCGAGTTTATCTGTGTAGTTTATATTGGTATATTCTAATTTATAAATAAAGTATAAGTTATATACCTAATGTTTTAGTTAAACAGTGTATTTAATTAAATTTAATTAACCTAATGGAAATTAATAGAACTCAATTAGCAATATTTATTATTATTATGATTCCGAGTGGGCATATAGCTAAACTGTTTATTCTAAAATTTAACGAGACAGTATAATATAATAATTTTGATACAAAAAAACTATATAATATAAATTGCTATTTTTTGCATGGAAAGTGGAAAACAACAAAATGCCATTGTAATAAATATGATAACAAAAATTATTTCATATATTACTTGTAAAGATTCCTAATATATTATACATTGTAAAATGTTAATATTACATTTTTTCTATACAGTATATTTTATATTTTTAATGAACTTACAAATGGTAAGTAATTTCATTGTTATTTTACACTTTTCTGATTTCATGCTTGTATAAATTGTTTTTTGTGGAACAATATACAAATTGTTAATATTATCATTTTTTTTATGGATGATAATGGTATGATGCACCCGCCTGCGGTAATGGTTTATGCTGGTAGGGCACCAGTGAAGGATGTTATGATGAGCATGAGGTCAGGTCATTCTTACGTCACAGGTCACGATGGGTTACGTGATAAATTTACCAAGAATTTATCACGATGGTTTCCAGGGGGAACTGCTTGGAGGCCAACATGACATGGTACACTGCTAGCAATGGGGTCATAAGTCCATATTAATAACAATTCCTTTCCCCCCCCCGGTTAACCTTTATTGGTTGTTTGAATATTGATATTATGGATACTGTGAATAATAAATAAAACCTGGGTATATGCACATTGATAATATTGAGTTCGATTGATTAGATACAATCAATAGTGCTTATTGAGTTACGGTGTTTTTAGAACATAGAAATAGATTAGCGTTCGGCTAATCTATTTCTATGTTCGATTATGGGCGAGTTCGTACTCGGATAATTCATTATATAAAATTGGGATTTCGTTGTATAACCAACTGGAATAAACTAATACTTTTAGTGCCTATATATACCTACCACAAAGCATTCGCGAGAACTGTACCCGATGGGGTTAAGCCGTTTTCGTTTTCGTTTCCGAGGACTATGTGTGTAGACATATAGACAAATGTTATAATAATCATTATTCTGTGTTCTATTATGTTAATAGATTCTCCTTATAGTTTTCATCTTCTATGTATAGACGGCGTTTATTATAAGTCTTCTGTATAATAATTAATTTAATAATAATAATATCTAAGGACAATTCCCACAACGCAATTTAATCCAAGGAAAAGAGCTTGTGTTATGGGTACTACACAACTAATCAAATACTTCTTTTTACATATTTTTTTATATTAGCATAAAATAAAAATATTAATTATATAAACAGAAAACACCCAGATCACACTCATGATTTATTAATTTAATCAATTAATAATATATTAGCTTTATCTCTATCACTTTAATTGCTACATTCAGTGGGTCCGTTTAGCATACGAATGATACCATTATCAGTAATATACTTACACCTAACTGAATTTGAATTGTTTTATCTCATTACAGTTTAGAAATGGCATCAGGGTTATTCGGAAAGAGAAACATACAGCAGCAAAAAAGGTAAGTACATAATATGGTTTATTCTATATCGGAAGATACATTGGCCGTTTCAATAAATACAATAGTAAAAAATACCTATTAGATAAAGCCAATTGCACTCTAAATTTGACACATAAGCGTGTCTGGCATTACTTATTCATACTCAAGAATTTAGTGATTATTGAAAAACTAAGATAAAAGGATCACAAAAAATATATGCATGCTTAGTGCATGCATATATTTTTTGTACAGACAGCCCAGTATATAAACGACTACATTTGCCCGCGATTACGTTCGCGTGGCATAACTTGGAATGAATATTAATTTATTTTACAAATAGGTCACATATTGATAAATGCTTTAATAAGTTATTTGCAGTGTTTTAATTTAAATACAAACTTACTCTTATTTCTTTTACCCCCTTAAGAGTTCACTTCTACAAACTTTGAATGTAATGTTTACGTAGGTAGGTATATTTAATCAACAGATACACACTACATACATACAACTAGCTTTAAAAATGACGAAACTTCCATACAATCTTTCATCTCCCCATTCAACTTCTTAGAACCTTTTTTTAATAGTATTGTATTTGTATTAAAAAGTAGCCTATGTGCTTTCTCAGACTCTAGGCTATAAAACTACTGAACCGATATAAACTTGGTACACAGAAAGGTTGGTACCAAAATTTAAATCGGTTCAGTAGTTTTAGAAAGCGTCAGACAGACAGAACTACTTTCGCATTTATAACTTTAGTATTACCACAGATAATATAATTAGTACTATGCAACATATTTAACGAAGGAAGAACGAAATTGTGTCATAGGTACGAGTACAATACGATTAATAAGTCCAATATTCAGTTTCCCTCAGTAATGTAATATACAGTTATTATTCAATTAAAAATTACTTGGGTTCGAGTATATGATTAAATATGTACATATTTACATAGTGTGCGCTAGTTCGAGTTTATCAATACGTAAAGATAATATTTACTGATTGCATAATTTTGTAAAAACAGTTTATTGTGATAATATTTACAGATACTTTATTTCGGCAAGTGGTCGTGCGCCTACCTATTAATGAAACATAATATATGCTCTGTATTTATTAAATGATTTTTCACATCACATCCATTTGGAAAAATACCTAAGTACCTGCGTACGTACTTATACTCTGTAGATTTGGGATTTCCGGACAATTTTCAATATTTGTCAAAATACCTACCTAATTGTATGTCAACTAAACGGTCGATTGTGTAAACATTTTCTGTACCTACCTGCCATCTGTGTATTTTTTGCTAAATATGCTATTTATATTATTATAAGTATTATATACCTGATGTTAAGCGGTAACTGTTGCTTATAGACTCGAACAGCAACACCACGTTATTATGTGGCTACTGCATACCACGCATGACCATTTCTATTTCAGAGGACTAAAATGTCATGTCTCTAATATAATTAATTATATACGTAATATCATTTATTTCGTTGTAAAATTTAATTTTAAATAATTGCTCAATATTTTCTAGCGATTGATATCGCTTAATAATTAACAAATACTTGTTCCGATTTTTTAAATTATTTCACATGTCTAACTTAATTAGTTAATTGTGAATATTCTTTCTACAGGCTTTTAGTTTCATAGGATCCATGTATATATCATAATGAATTTTATGTCTTCTCTGTCCAAAAAAACAAAATCGTGACAACCAAGAAAACTACTTATACATTACAAAATAATTGTCATGGTAATTGTTCCGTTATAAATTGAAAACGAGAAAACAGTGATTTTACGTAGGCACAGGAAAATCACTAAAATATTTCTCAATTAAAAAATCGTTTACCTTTGAGCCCAAATTTCCAAACACAGGTGTCACAGGTTAAGGGGCGTCTTGATATCTTTATTCAGTTGTCATCTTCAGTGAAGTGTTTGCGTACATACGTGTGGGTATTGAATGTAGATTTGTGGTTTTTCACATTTTTTCTTTTCTGTCAACATGGGCAATCCCTCGAATACACTTATAATACCATAAATTCTTATTGAGGTGAGTAATAATATTACATCTTTATTTATATTGCTTTTGTGTTCAAAAATAACTTCTTTATTTGCTAATACTATAGATGTGACAGTTTGTACTGTGTTTAGATATTTTTGTGTCTATTAAACATCTGCCATGTTTAAATTTTTGTTACATTGATAGATTTACATGTTGTTACTTGTTTCATTCACATGTTTTGATCTAATTACGTTTTTTTTTCTACAATAATCCATTACAACTGTTGGGAAGTCCTGACTGGATGGTAAGTAGGTGAGCCATAGGATTATTTTGTTTTTCGAAACAACTTAGTAAGTATACATTGACATATGTAAGTCTTTTTTATTTTGTCTTTACTCATTGTGTTGTATTTTAATGAAAACCAGACATCCGGACGCACAGTTTTCCAATTTTTTTTTACAATTATAAATTAATTATTGTTATATATATGTTATATATTGGTTTTATTAATAGAAATATTCTATTTTTCATAATATCACGGCGAAGGTGCCTACTGAGGTAGACTAACTGCAGTTCAATTCGGATTTTCGTTTTGAACTTTATTTTGTGGAGCCTCACTTACATCCCCTGAGGTGTCCAATGGGCACTTTTCCACAATCAGTCGTTAAGAAATCAGGAGCACATATTTAAATCGTTTTATATTAATATAAATGCTGCCTTCATTATTCTTTTTACCATTTTAAATAATAATTTTATGCCCAATAATTGACAAAATGGGAATGCTCCTATTTATGCGGCAATGATATTAATGGTCCTATTCTAGCTTACACAGGGGACTTACTAGGGGACACATGATTGAATAATTGGACGGAAAACAACGAAATTATTCCGGTCAGGACTTTTGTATATAATTTGTGAATCTGTCCAGCTCGTAACCAGTGGTATTTGTGGATTTGGGAATCGAATTCTTTTTATTAAGTGCATGCAATGAATTCGGGCTTAGCTTTTAGAATGTTTTAACATTATGTGTAATTTAGAAATAAATTGCGATGCATTTATATTTTTCCTATCTATTGACAGGAAAATAAATAATAGACAATATTAATACTATTTTCTTTTATGTGTCCGATACTCAACATACTTCATAAAGAATGACTTACTTACTTCATTATTTTGTTATTATTTAAGTACCTAGTTGTGATGTTTCTATATTCGTAATAGTCGTGTTTTTTTAGTAATACCAAATTCAAGGACACTGTTCCAGTTTAAACAGCACGTAATTACGGAGTACTCTGTGATAGATCTATGATAGATATATACTCTATATCGCTTGGCGCCTACGGATAATAAACTCACCAAGTTGTAAAAAAATCATTTTACAATTCATTGGTTCATCGCGCGAGTCATAGGATAAACATGATTTTATGTCGGTACGGTTCACGGTGTATATTTATTTATAATTATCGAACACTATTATCGAATATAATTCTATACTATCCTTTTTCCATAGGATGAATGTAGTGGTGCCCCTGCCTGCGCTAACGGTATGAGCTGGCGGGACACCAGTGAAGATCATTACTAATGTATCTATAGGCCTCATTGTTACTAAATAAACCTCACTTTATCCTCCACCGGAGCCCCGTATAGTATTAGCGCAAGCGAGTGCACTATTCTATATTTTAATAACTTGAAGAAAATACGATCAACAGTGTTCAAATGATTACAATATCAGTATAAGTTTGTGAATTATAAATACCTATAAAAATATTTATAATTATAGCAATAATACTTTATCATCTTTATCATAATGGAGTGTCAAAGTAGTGACAAAATGTAACTAAATAAATAATAAATAAGCCAATCATTATCCGTAGATAAATTAGTCACACCCACGCAGTGCACATTTTGTGTAATTGGATTTTAGTCCCCAATGATTGGTTACAAGAGTTCGATTTTAATTTTGTTATACTAATTTGCTAGTTCAATAAATTACTAAACAGGATTAGTAGGCAGAGCTGTATCGGGTCACTGGTAGAGAATTCCTTGGATCACTCCCGAGATCGCCGCGTCTGTAGCGAAATAAGTACTAATTTTTCATAGTACCCGGCTGAGTCGATTTTACCACTACCGCAGCACCAGATTTCAGTGTCGTGTGTAAAGGGATTAAGAATACTCAGGAAATCTTCTTCTACTTTTAAACTTTGCATATTAAATTATTCATGCGCAGTTTGTATAAGGGGTTTTAAAAATTATTGTATGTTTTCTACTTTACTGAAAATTCATTTTCATTAATACTATCAATAAATTTCAGCGTTGTAGATATAGGTATTCTTAACAACTAACTAGAGATTTGCTTGAAACTGTACAAAAAATATTTTTACAAATGTATTACACATTTGTAAAAATAGATACCTTAATAGTTTTCTATATTGTATTTTAAGTTGTGTCGTATCGGTCACGTGGAATTTAGATTGAGTAATTTCAATAGTAAGCAGACTTTAAAATTATGTTCGTACTAACATCCGTTTATTCAAAGCAAATTTATTTTTAGACATTGATTACTTACAGACAGTTTCAATTTTACTTAAGCTGACACTTAACATTTTCTATTGTATAATATAGGTACCAAAAGTATCAATATATTATATTTATATACAATATACATATTAATATATCGTAACATCAATATTACAGATTTTTTTTTTCTAATATGCCTGTGAATACCTATGGAATTATTGAAAATTTAAAGATATATATTTAGTCAGCGTTTTCCAAATTAGTGGACGTGATCACCTTGTTTTTCTATTCGGATTTATCTCTTGAGAACGTTTACATTGTTTGTTAGTTCTTCAAGTTATGTGGCTAATCCATATTTTTATAAATATGGATTCTGTGATTGATGGTCTTGCGGTAGCGGTTCTATGTGTTTGGCATTCCAATGTTTGGAGGTTCGATGCTCGTTATTCACATCTGTAGGTATTTGTATTGGTCTGGGTGTTTTCAATGTATATTATTGCAT